TTTTTTGCATATAGAAATAGAAGGCCCTTTGAAAGCTCTTGCCTCCATAAGAAAAAATGTGGTCAATCCTGATGACATAGGCTCCATTTTGAAAAATATGGGAGTTCCATTACCCCAAGATGTCATTCAAAGAACACTGAAAAATGTGGCTCTCAGGGGTGAGTAATTTAATATGTTTGTAGGTACTCTTTATCTTATCTAACATGATTCTGTTCAAGAAACTTTAGAGAGGGCATATCTTCAGGATTATCCAACATTTTCTTTTGCCTGGTGCCCAGCTGTTTCTAGTTACTGTCATACAGGTTCTAGTTATTTTCAGTTAAACATGCAAAGAAGAATCTATAGGGGATGAGTATGTACAAGTGTGCCTGAATGATATGCATGCATTTGTTTTTGTTTTTCTGATTGAATATGTATCTCTAATTGTACTTAAAAGCCAAATGTATAATTTATTTTTCAATATAGCAATTATACTATAATTGCCTTTTTAAAAAATATGATTATTTACTTTCACCATGTTCTTTAACATGCATTTTTTAAAAATAGAGGATGGAACAGTAAATTTGGAAGAGTTTATGAGCAATTTGGTCAATTCAAGATTTTCATCTGTACCTGAAGGTAAGAATTTTTAGTTGAGTGGAGATAGATAGTGATATGTATATTGTAGATTTCTTGGGGCTTTTGAGATGGTCCTAAACTTACTAATTTATTAATTAAAATATTTTTCTTGAGACCAGTGGTTGGTGTAATGGCTATGTAGCTGGACTCCCATGTAGTCGACTGTGATTTGAGTCCAGGACCCAGTGCCTTAAACGCACGCTGGGCATGTGTGCATGGGTGCCCAAGATCCTGAAAGGAGAATGGAGGAGAAGGGATTGTGGCGTGGCCATCCCCCCTGGGGGGTGATTTCTTGCTTTCTGTCTCTCTTTCTCTTTCTGGTGAGTGCACGTGCCCTATAGCAAAAACCTCTCCAAAAAAAAAAAATAGGAAAAAAATATTTTCTTTATTCATGATGGAACATATGCATGCCCATGAGAGAGAGACAAGAGGGGATGGAGAAAAGAGCACCCTTCACAGAGAGTAGTCATGCACAATACCTTTCCTCTAGTCTTTTAGCCCATTAGATCTTGGGTACTCATGCATGTGGCTGGCATGTGTCAGGCTCTCAGGACTGGGGATTCAAATCGTGATCACCATGTGGGACCTACCTTCTCTTGAGCAGCATGTTACTGCTGCACCACAGAGATAGCCCTGTTCTAAAGTTATTTAATGCTGGCACAATTTTTAAATGTCTTTGCACCAAATATGTCTAATATGTAGCACAATTAGAAAAGACCATGATCTTTTGGGGTGCTAGTTATTTCTTTTGTCTTTTCTGAGCACTAGAACATCGACTACAATTTTTTTTTTTTTTTTTTACTAAGGACCTTATGAAGATAAAAATAATGTTAGTTAAAAATGATTGAACCAGTGCTTTGAATTAGGCTATTTGCAAATTACTTTAAATTTCAGTTGTATGAGATACATTAACATATGGTAAATGGTGGATTCCTGATAGTTTATAATTTGTCTTCATTATGAAACTGGCAAAGGGGCCAGCAGGTGGTGTGGTGGTTAAGACACTGGACTCCCACATGGTCAACCATTGTTCAAGTCCTGGATCTGGTGACTTGCTTTCTCACTTTCCCTCTCTCTCTTTCTGTCTCTCTCTGATGAATTAAAATAATAATAATAATAAATAAAATTAAATAAATAATTATTTAAAAAAGAAACTGTCAAAAAAGTTTGCTGTTAATATTAGAATTTTTTGTTCAGATTTAGATTTTTCTTCTGTTGTGACTTGAACTTTTTTGTTGTTGTTGTTCCTTGTAAGGGCCCTCCTTTTTTCAGTTTCTTGTTAAAAACTAACTCAAAGTTTAATTTTAATAGGATATTTGTCAGTTATGTTAAGGACTCTTTTATTCCATTGGTTTGTTTAGTATTTCTACAATTTCAGGCCTCTGGATTCTCTGATATGCTGCCTTTCTTACACCAAGAATGTACTAAAAAAAAAGGAATGTTTTATATTTTGCACTTTTGGGTGGAGAGAATAATTCTGATTTAAGCTGAAACTAAATCCACTTTAAATAACTTCACATTGTACATTTTAAAATGTCCTCTTGTTCCAAAAGTTCAAGATTTACTTTTTGATCATTTTCCACCTACTTGTTGATGTGCACACATGTATAGCTTTGACAAATGAAAAATATTTATGAAAAGACTTTTTTTGTACAACTACCTTATTTGAAGGAACTTCCAAATAATATACCTTATTTGCTTTTGAAAATTGACATTAATAACAATCATTTGAAAGTGTTATTTCCTGAACACATTGTCCGTAATGTTATTTCAACATTTTGCTATATTTTCTAGGACCTTTATTTTTTTTAAAGAGATAAAATATTCAGTTACTGTTGAAGCCCTCTTTACTGTTCTCAATCTCATTGTCTTCATTTTCTCATTTCCCAAGGATAATTTCAAGGTAGTACAGAATCCTTTTATGTCACACATATTAATTTCTCCTGTGTTCTTTAAAATATAGTTTGGAAATGATGTTTTGAAGAATACAATGGAACAAGTGTTTGCTGCTGATATAGTAAAATGGAATCTATTAAAACAGATTTTATTAGATCTATCGTACCCTGTGGCTTTTTGAAATTCTCTTATTAGATTAAGCAAATAGAAACATTTATAGTTCTTCTTTCCCATTCTCTATGCCTTTTACTTCTTTTTTTTTTGTTCTTGTCCTATTTTATTAGTAGCACTTCCAACATAATGTTGAGAATGGTGATTATAACTAACTTTGACTTTATGAATAAAACATTCACTCTTCTACCATTAAATATGTTAGCTGTAGAGTTCTGTTTTTGTTTTTGTTTTTTCTTAAGGCCCAGTTAGAGAAATTGTCTTCTTTCCAGTTTACTAATGGTTTTTATTATATTGGGTCATTAGGAAAGTTGTGACTCATTTTTGCATAGAAAAATACGTCGTGACTTTCCTGTTGACCTAATAAATGGTTGTTGAATTTTGTAAAGTTATTTTTTAATATACACCAAGATATTCACATTGTTTTTTTTTTCTATTCTATTAATGTGGTGAAATACAATGATTGGTTGTCATATGTTAAATAACCTTGTAGAGCATGAATAAACTTCACTTGGTCATATATAGTTCCCTTTTCATGAATTGCTGAATTAGAATGAATAATATTTTGTTAAATTTTTGTGCTCATGTTCATGATAGATACTGGTCTATGGCTTTGGTTTTGTTGCTGTGTCTTTGGTTAAGTTTTGGTTTCAAGGTTTTGTTAGCTTCATAAAATGAGGTTTGTTGCCTCATGTATTTTCTGAAAACGTTTGTATAAGTTTGTAATTTTCTCCTCAAATATTAGGTAGAATTTAAGATGAGATCATCTGGGGATGAAATTTTCTTTGTGGCACTGTTTCTAATTGTGAAATCTATTTTCTTTTTTCTTTTTTATTGACAGAGACATGTGCATTCATTCACTAGAGACAGAGAGAGGGAGAGAAAGAAGGAGAGAAAGCACTCCCTCTCCCATAAGTAGGACACAGTCACAGTGCAATCCTTTTTCTTCCATTTTATTATACTGTCAGGATCCTGGGTGTACACACACATGAGTCTGGTGTGTTCTCCAAGCCACTGGGGTGGGGACTTGAACTGTGGTCAGCCATGTGGGATTCCACTCCTTATGCACAGGACTTAACTACTGCACTAAAGGACTGGCCCTGAAACCTGTTTCTTTATTAGATATAGGACTACTCAGGTTTTCTATGTCATCCTGTTAGTTTCGCTAAGCTATACTTTTCCAGAATTTTCCCATTGTTGCTAATTCATCATATTTGTTGGCATGAATTTGTTCATCATCTCTATTATCATTTTATGTTTGTATGATATATCAGATCACCCTTTTGAATTCCCATGATTGGCAATTTCTACTGTTTTCTTTCTTTCTTGACCAATTTTTGGGATTATTCAATTTTCTTGATCTCAAAGAAACAATTTCGACTTTGATAATTTTCTCTATATTTTGTCCACTTTCTGTTCTGTCGGTTCCTGCTTTTGTCTTTTTTTTAATATTCTTATTTCTGACTTTGGGTCTACTTTGGGCTTTTTCTAAATTCTTGAGATGAACTCTTTCTTCATTGATTTTAGTACAAAGTACTATTTCAGAGTATAAGCGGAAAATTGATTCCCATTCTGTACCTAATGAGTAATAATAATAAATAAAATTAAATAAATAATTATTTAAAAAAGAAACTGTCAAAAAAGTTTGCTGTTAATATTAGAATTTTTTGTTCAGATTTAGATTTTTCTTCTGTTGTGACTTGAACTTTTTTGTTGTTGTTGTTCCTTGTAAGGGCCCTCCTTTTTTCAGTTTCTTGTTAAAAACTAACTCAAAGTTTAATTTTAATAGGATATTTGTCAGTTATGTTAAGGACTCTTTTATTCCATTGGTTTGTTTAGTATTTCTACAATTTCAGGCCTCTGGATTCTCTGATATGCTGCCTTTCTTACACCAAGAATGTACTAAAAAAAAAGGAATGTTTTATATTTTGCACTTTTGGGTGGAGAGAATAATTCTGATTTAAGCTGAAACTAAATCCACTTTAAATAACTTCACATTGTACATTTTAAAATGTCCTCTTGTTCCAAAAGTTCAAGATTTACTTTTTGATCATTTTCCACCTACTTGTTGATGTGCACACATGTATAGCTTTGACAAATGAAAAATATTTATGAAAAGACTTTTTTTGTACAACTACCTTATTTGAAGGAACTTCCAAATAATATACCTTATTTGCTTTTGAAAATTGACATTAATAACAATCATTTGAAAGTGTTATTTCCTGAACACATTGTCCGTAATGTTATTTCAACATTTTGCTATATTTTCTAGGACCTTTATTTTTTTTAAAGAGATAAAATATTCAGTTACTGTTGAAGCCCTCTTTACTGTTCTCAATCTCATTGTCTTCATTTTCTCATTTCCCAAGGATAATTTCAAGGTAGTACAGAATCCTTTTATGTCACACATATTAATTTCTCCTGTGTTCTTTAAAATATAGTTTGGAAATGATGTTTTGAAGAATACAATGGAACAAGTGTTTGCTGCTGATATAGTAAAATGGAATCTATTAAAACAGATTTTATTAGATCTATCGTACCCTGTGGCTTTTTGAAATTCTCTTATTAGATTAAGCAAATAGAAACATTTATAGTTCTTCTTTCCCATTCTCTATGCCTTTTACTTCTTTTTTTTTTGTTCTTGTCCTATTTTATTAGTAGCACTTCCAACATAATGTTGAGAATGGTGATTATAACTAACTTTGACTTTATGAATAAAACATTCACTCTTCTACCATTAAATATGTTAGCTGTAGAGTTCTGTTTTTGTTTTTGTTTTTTCTTAAGGCCCAGTTAGAGAAATTGTCTTCTTTCCAGTTTACTAATGGTTTTTATTATATTGGGTCATTAGGAAAGTTGTGACTCATTTTTGCATAGAAAAATACGTCGTGACTTTCCTGTTGACCTAATAAATGGTTGTTGAATTTTGTAAAGTTATTTTTTAATATACACCAAGATATTCACATTGTTTTTTTTTTCTATTCTATTAATGTGGTGAAATACAATGATTGGTTGTCATATGTTAAATAACCTTGTAGAGCATGAATAAACTTCACTTGGTCATATATAGTTCCCTTTTCATGAATTGCTGAATTAGAATGAATAATATTTTGTTAAATTTTTGTGCTCATGTTCATGATAGATACTGGTCTATGGCTTTGGTTTTGTTGCTGTGTCTTTGGTTAAGTTTTGGTTTCAAGGTTTTGTTAGCTTCATAAAATGAGGTTTGTTGCCTCATGTATTTTCTGAAAACGTTTGTATAAGTTTGTAATTTTCTCCTCAAATATTAGGTAGAATTTAAGATGAGATCATCTGGGGATGAAATTTTCTTTGTGGCACTGTTTCTAATTGTGAAATCTATTTTCTTTTTTCTTTTTTATTGACAGAGACATGTGCATTCATTCACTAGAGACAGAGAGAGGGAGAGAAAGAAGGAGAGAAAGCACTCCCTCTCCCATAAGTAGGACACAGTCACAGTGCAATCCTTTTTCTTCCATTTTATTATACTGTCAGGATCCTGGGTGTACACACACATGAGTCTGGTGTGTTCTCCAAGCCACTGGGGTGGGGACTTGAACTGTGGTCAGCCATGTGGGATTCCACTCCTTATGCACAGGACTTAACTACTGCACTAAAGGACTGGCCCTGAAACCTGTTTCTTTATTAGATATAGGACTACTCAGGTTTTCTATGTCATCCTGTTAGTTTCGCTAAGCTATACTTTTCCAGAATTTTCCCATTGTTGCTAATTCATCATATTTGTTGGCATGAATTTGTTCATCATCTCTATTATCATTTTATGTTTGTATGATATATTCAGATCACCCTTTTGAATTCCCATGATTGGCAATTTCTACTGTTTTCTTTCTTTCTTGACCAATTTTTGGGATTATTCAATTTTCTTGATCTCAAAGAAACAATTTCGACTTTGATAATTTTCTCTATATTTTGTCCACTTTCTGTTCTGTCGGTTCCTGCTTTTGTCTTTTTTTTAATATTCTTATTTCTGACTTTGGGTCTACTTTGGGCTTTTTCTAAATTCTTGAGATGAACTCTTTCTTCATTGATTTTAGTACAAAGTACTATTTCAGAGTATAAGCGGAAAATTGATTCCCATTCTGTACCTAATGAGATATTTATTTATACCATGTTAAATATTATCTCCTAACCATTATCTTTATGACAGTTCATGTACAATATCACATGACCGATAAAAGGTTAAATGTCCTTGTGCTTTATAATCATATCCCCTGTAAACTGATCAAAGGAACATCTTTCTTCTTCTTTCTTTTTCTGTCTTTCTTCCCTCTCTTTCTTTCCTTTTTGAAGACGGTGTTGCCATGTCATGACCATCCAGCTTCAGCCTTCCAGCCAGGACTACAGGCACATGCCACCATGCTTAGTTCCTTTTCAGACAGGGTCTCACTTTGTTGCCCAGGTGTCCTCAAGCTTGTGATTCTCCTGCTTTAGCCTCTGCAGTTGCTGAGGTTTCAGGGACACATTAACACATTTAGCCTTTAGGTTTGACAGGAAGTTTAACCCAGATTTCCCTTGTGGTTCTAGTCTCACAGCAATCTTAACAGTGCATGCCACTGCAGCTGGGTCAACATGTTTCTATTTTTGATAAAATAACTTACAGTGTGCATTTCAATACATGTCAAAGAATCCCTCCTTTTCATACTGAAGTTGAATATAATGAAATCAATATACAGTATTTTTCATAATTGAAAATTGTTAGTATTTCCTGTCCTTCTAGTTTTTACCAGTTCTATTTTTCTCCTAGGACATAGGGTTGATGACAGCAGCCTAACCACCTTTCTAGGAGACATGAGGTTGGAGATGTCAGGTAAAGAATTTTGAGAGATTTTGAAGGACTTGTCAGTTCAAGGTGGCTGGCTCACATGTTCTACGTACTGAGATATCCTTTTGTTAATCAAAATTTCATAGATATGAAAAACATACAGGGGATCAGCAGTTGGTATAATGGCCATGTCGCTGGACTTCCATGTAGTTGACCATGGTTTGAGCCCTGGGACCCAGTGACTTAAACTCATGCTGGGTGCGTTTGCGTGCATGCCCAAGATCCCGAGAGGATAACAGAAGAGAAGGGAATGAGATGTGGCCATCCTCCCTGGGGGGTGATTTCTCACTTTCTGTTTCTCTTTCTCTCTCTGTCTTTCTGGCGAGCGCTGTGCCCTATAGCCAAAACCTCTCTGGAAATAAAAAAAAAAAAGAAAAGAAAAAGAAAGGGCCATAGAGTAGATGGTAGAGCGTGAGTGGTAGAGGGTGGGTATTGAGGTACAAAGGTAAGAAACATTTAACAGACAAAAAATGTGAAGTTTTCTGTTGGAAAAAAATTACATGTATCATGGGTTAGAACTTTATGTAAAATGTAAAGTTAATCTGAAAATTTAAAAAGGACAGATGTTGAAAAATGTGTACAAGAAAGGACCATAGAAAATGTGGTTAAAAAAAAAGAGCGAGAGAGATTATTAATTACCTTAAATGTTATGTTTTAGGTTACCCTTTTTAAGAATAAAAAAAATTTTACAGAAGTTTCACTTGGGGAGTACAGTAAAAAAAAGGATATATTTTTAATTTTAGTTCTTTAGATTGAAAGGTATATTCATGGAAATACTTTGGCAGCCCTCCTCTTTATCAGTCAACCAGCATTATTAGGCACCCACTACGTTCTATGTGTTGTGTCACTCTTCTTCCCCAAAGGGTTGTAGCAATGTTCTGGGAGGTTTATTTGGGGGGGAGTGGGAAAAAAGAGGTGCCTGCCTTGCAGATATCTTTACTATAATTTATCTGCTCTGATCCTCATTTATTTTTATACCTTCATGTGGGCACCAATTGAACGAACTGAATTTTCACTAGCGTTTTATCTTGCATTGTGCACTAGCACTACTTGCCTTGCCCTGTAGTTTGACTGCCAGGCCATATTTGGAACTTTTGGCTCTTCTTTTTTATCAAACTTCATCCCTTCCCAGAAAATGTTTTGCTATTCTTATATGCCATGCTAAGACTGTTGAAAATTTGGTAGCTGTGAAAGATCCCCCTTCCCTAGATAACAATACTTCTATTTATTCTCTAACTTACCCTTGCAATGGTTTCTTGAAAAAGTCTGTTTGTCTTGCTGCCTGCTGTTTGGGGCTCCTAATGAACTATAAGGCATAGGTCCCATTTTTCTTGGTTGTTATAGTAGAATGGTGGGCTGCTAAAATGGATTGATTAAATTTTAAAATTTTTATTAAATAACAGGAAAAGTAAAGAGATACCATACCTCTGTCTTATAGTAGCAGATTAAATGTTTTCTCTCAATTATCTAAAAAGGGACTCATGCTGAGTTCTGAAAGATACTACAAAACTTGAATACAACTGATATTTTCCTATTATATATAATGGGCTATCAGAAAAGTCATGGCATATTTTTCTGTTTTTCTATGCAAAAAATGCATTGTGGCTTTTCCAATGATCTAATAAAAGTGCTTTACAAATTTATTGATATTTTAGTGAAGACATTCATTTCAGTCTTTTTTTCTCTCACACCTTAACCTTAGGTTAATATTTCATTTGGGTCAAGAAAGGAATGTAGGAGAGGGATGTTATTTTAACACACAATAAAATGGACCAAAATAGACAGTTTGCCTACATAAAAGTTAAATTCATGTATCTTGATATAATTAAATCATGTAAGAACTAATAGTTCTATATACATTTCCATTGTTTTAGTTGAGATTGTTTAGTATGTCTCAGAAACAAGAATATTCATTAGTTATTCTTTTTTTTTTTTTGAGAGATTTTTTGCTATAGGTCATGTGCACTTACCAGAGAGACAGAAAGCAAGAAATCACTGCCTGGGGGGCTGGCCACACTACAGTCCCTTCTCTTCCATCCTCCTCTTGGGATTTTGGTCATGCATGCACATGTACCTGGCATGAGTTTAAACCACCAGTTCTAGGACTCAAACCATTGCTGACTACATGGAAGTCCAGTGACATAACCATTATGCCATATATTGGTCCATTATTAATTATTCTTAAGAGCTCTCTTGTTTTCAATGCTATGCATTTGTTTGGAATTAAATGAGATCATATTTTAAATCAATATATACAACATAGTTTAAGTCAGTATATGCAACATCTCCAAATTGCTATGTTGAACATTAATGATTTTATAAAGTTTACTGTAACAATTTACATTTGTGATCTAATTAATTCCTTATTTTTGCAGCTGATAATAAAGCAGAGAAAAAGAATGAGATAAAAGAAAGGGCATCAGTAGGTAAGAAAAAGTTTGTTGATTAATTAACTAAAGAAATATTTACTAAGTAATTAGGCAGTGCTATATACTGTGTTAAGCACTAGAGTTAAAAATAAATAAAATAAACTTTTTAGATTTATAGTCCTATCTCTGGAAATCTTTTATGCATATTTAAACAATATAATTTGTTTGGCAAATGTAGAAATAATATATTTATTTAAAAATACCTATTTTATTTTTTAGATAACCATTAATAATTTAATAGTTTCCCTTCCATGTAATTTTGCCATTATATGCTTCTTTCTTTCTTTCTTTCTTTCTTTCTTTCTTTCTTTCTTTCTTCCTTCCTTCCTTCCTTCCTTCCTTCCTTCCTTCCTTCTTTCTTTCTTTCTTTCTTTCTTATTTTGCTATAGTGCATGTGCACTCGCCAGAAAGGCAGAGAGACAGAGAGACAGAAAGTGAGAAATCACCCCCGGGGGGATGGCCATGCCACAATCCCTTCTCCTCCATTCTCCTTTAAGGATCTTGAGCACGCATGCACACGCGCCTGCTGTGTTTAAGCCACTAGGTCTGGGACTTGAACTGCAATTGGCTACATGGGAGTCCAGTGATGTAGTCATTATGCCATCAGCTGGTCCCTATATGCTCATTTTTTATTACCTGAATTTCTTTTAGCTACATCTGAAAAAATAGTAATACAGTACTATACTTTTTTGTTGTTGTTTTTGTTTGACAAATTTATTGGTATTTTAGTAAAGACTTTCATTTTAGTTGTTTTTCTCTTCCACCTTGACCTTAGGTTAATGTTTCATTTGGGTCAAGAAAAGAATGTAGGAGAGGGATGTTATTTTAACACACAATAAAATTGACAATTTGCCTAAATAAAACTTAAATTTATGTATCTTGATATAATTAAATCATGTAAGAACTAATAGTTCTATATACATTTCCATTGTTTTACTTGGGGCTTATTCTAAACTTAAATGCAAGTGAATAAAGTATTAGGAATATACATAGGCTGTTTCTCTGGATTTACTACCTATTTAAAAAGCTCAGTGAGTAGTTACTGCCATGTAGTAGCCTGAAGCTGCCTCCATATTTAACATTGTAGGAGTTTTCAGAGAAATCATTACACACTGGATGTTTTAGTCTGTGACCATGCTTTTATAGATGCATATAACTGTCGCATTAAAAAGAAAATTCTTATACAACAGAAAAATACAAAAACAAAAGCCCTACAAAACACAAATCTTTCACACAAGCATATGTGTGAGAGATTTCATAAAATACGTTTGAAGATGCATTTTCTTTCGATTTTCAGTATCTAAAGTGTGCTTTTGAGAGGCCACTGGTTAATATGTATACATGTAAAATGAGCCATGTAAGTGCACTAATAAGAAATCCTGTAGTAAATTGAATTGGATTTCACAAATGAGTAACTTAAAATACTCACACAAAGTACATCTTGTTTCCATCTTCAGACAATGTTAAATTTTCTTTTTGGTGTTTATACCTTTTTCAAAACAAAAATAGTCAAATGTTTAAACGATATATATGTACATGGAAAGTTTTGGTGGTGGTTTGTGTTTTAAAAGGAACAGCTTCCTTATGATTTGCTTCAAGTTCTGGTGGATATGCTTATAGGAACTAGCTAATAAATGAAACCAAGAGAAGCACATTCAAAATACTGATTTACATTGGTAGCACATGGTTGTTCTTTGAAGACTAATGAGGGTAGACAAAACCCATTAAGGTGAAGTGGACTATTTCAAATATTCAGTTTACATAAAACTTTTATTATTATTATTTTTTAAAAGAATTAAACTTCGGGGGAACCAGCAGTTAGCGTGATGGCTATGTCGCTGGACTCCCACGTAGTCGACCGCGGTTTGCGTCCCGGACCCGGTGGCTTAAAACTCACGCCGGGCGCGTGTGCGTGCGTGCCCAAGATCCCGAGAGGAGAATGGAGGAGAAGGGATTGCAGCGTGACCATCCCCTCTGGGGGGTGATTTCTTGTTCTCTGTCTCTCTGTCTCTCTCTGTCTGTCTGGCGAGTGCATGCGCCCTATAGCGAAAAACCTGGAAACTACCTAGGTTAAAAAGCCAAAGCCAAAAATAGTAAATAGGGGGGCCAGCAGTTGGTGTAATGGCTATGTTGCTGGACTCCCATGTAGTCGACTGTGGTTCGAGTCCTGGACCCTAGGGCTTAAACTCACACTGGGCACCCATGCTTGCCCAAGATCCCAAGAAGAGAATGGAAGAGAAGGGATTACGGTGTGGCCATACCCCCAGGGAGGGGGGTGATTTCTTGTTTTCTGTGTTTCTGGTGAGTGCACGTCCCCTATAGCAAAAAACCTCCAAAAAAAAAAAAAAAAGAGCTAAGCTTCTATATCCACTGATAGCAATGCAGTAACTAGTTTATGATGACTAGAAACAAAACAAATGGCCATAAGGAAAAAAATCACATTTTATCTAAATTTACTTTCTGACAATAATCTAGTAACATTTTCCTCCCAAAAGAATACTCTTTCTATGTATATGAGACTCTTCCTTAGAGCCAGACAGTTTAAGTAATGAGGGAGTTAAGAGTGAATAACTTCTTGCAGTTTTAAATAGACAATAACTTTTTGCTTCCCTCTTAATGTGCTAAGAGTTATGTCAAAAAAAATTTGCAATTCTTAAAAAGGTAGTATTTCTGATTTACTCTCTGTAACCTTTGGAAACTAATCACATGAAACTACAAAGTTAGTAATGTCTTGAAATCTGTATATAAAACATAAATTACCTCTAATTTCAAACTCATTTATTAGTGTATCACTCATTCTTAAAAAGAAAATGAAAAAGTAAAAAAGCGGCTCCAAAGATAGTTATACTATTCTTTTTTTTTTTTTTTTTGGAGAGGTTTTTGCTATAGGGGGCATGTTCTTGCCAGAAAGCCTGAAGGCGAGAGACAGAAAGTGAGAAATAGTCCCCCAGGGGGGATGGCCACACCGCAATTCCTTCTCCTCCATTCTCCTCTCAGGAACTTAGGCACACATGCACATGCGCCCAGCATGAGTTTAAGCCATCGCGTCTGGGACTCAAACCGCAGTCGACTACATGAGAGTCTATTGACATAGCCATTATGCCAACTGCTGGTCCCAGTTATACCATTCTTTTAAAAAGGAAACTGTTCCTTTTAACTTTACACCCACCCCACACCCCAGTTTCAAAACACATTATTTGATTGTCTTGGTCATGGATATTTGCAAGGTGAGATTTTATATTTTGCTCCCATAGCTTCTGGTTATCAGAAAACCAGTGCTTTCCTTTATTGAAGGAGTTTGCTCTGGCTGATGTTCGTGTGTCCCCTCCCATATTCTTCATTCTCATCTTTGCTTCTGGAGGCATTTCCTCTGGTTCATTATCTTCATTAAAAGCTGCTGCTACTGAAAGGGTTTTGGAGCAAGAGTTGGAGTAGTTTCTTTAGGCTCACTTGATCCAAGTTCGATGGATATGACTGCTGCTTTCTTTGCTGTCTGACTACCTATGGCAAATCCAAACTTGGAGCTCTTGTAGGCTTTGTCGGGAAGTCTACAGTTTCTACTTCAGCTGATCGCTTCTCAGCACTGCGACTGGAACTTTCCCCTCCATTACTTCTGTGGCTCTAGCTTGCTGCGACTTTCAGGTTTCCTTTCTCCCACCTTCCTGTCTGCCATTTTCCCTGCTGCCTACAGTATTATACTTTTAAGGCAATATACCATTTATTATTTTTTAGAGCTTGTAACTATCTTGCAAATATAGAAACAACAAAGTTATAGGTATTTTTGAAAAATAATGCCTTCATTAATTGTTCATTTTAATTTAATAAGTAGAGATTGTTAGGTTGGGAATTCAAATAAGACCAAACCTTTCAAACTCAACTGTTCAAAGCACTTATTGATTAAAATTACTCAGTTTGGTTTCTGCATTGCCATGATCAATTAATTATGTAACCAAGATGCTTTATTTATTTCTAGAAGGTAGAGATATATATTCTAAAATGCAGTAAAGACTAAGGGATGATTTTCTTCCATTATTTTAAACAGCAAGTAAGAGTTATAACACAGCGACCAGAAGTTGGCATGGTGGTTAAGGTATTGGACTCTCACATGGCTGACTATGGTTTGAGTGCTTGACCTGGCAGCTTTCTCTCTCTCTCTGTTTCTCTCTTTATTTCTCTTTCTCTCTCTGTTTCTCTCTGGTGAACACACATGCCTTATAGAAAAATTAAAAATAATAGTAATAAGTATATTTAAATAAATAATTCTTTTAAAAAAGTTATAACACAGTAACTTCACGTTGTTGTATGATTTGTTATTTTCCTTGTATTCCCATATGTTCTTATTTCCTAAGGAGAGAATATTGATGTCAGTAATGTGGATGCTGTTCTAAACATCATGGATATAAAACTTACCGAAGAAGAACGACAGGATCTACTAGAACACCTGTCAGCTACTGGTAAGGCTTTCGAGTATCTCATTATAGTTGTTAGATGCCATTCAGCTTGTAGTTTGAAGTCTTTTCTTTGAGAGATTTTGATACTATAATTATTTGAATAATCTAGGGTAAACCTTTTTTTTAACAGTTTATTTCATGAGCAAGAGAGAAAGGAAGAGAGAGAGAGACAGAGACAACAATCTCAACAAGGTCTTAACATCATTATCCACCCCTAGCCTTAGACAGCCCCAGATCATTAGGATATGCATACCTAGTGTATTCAGGGAGGTCTCTGGATGCAAACCCAGAACTTACCTGTGTGGGTCAGCCTCACAAATAGCATTTTTATTTTTTAGAGGATTTTACTATAGGGAACATGCACTCACGAGCGAGAGAAATGGAAACAGTGAGAGAGAAAGTGAGAAATCATCCCCTGGGGGTTGGCCATGCCATAGTCCCTTCTTCTGCATTCTCCTCCTGGGATCTTGGGCATGCATGCATATGTACCTGGCATGATTTTCAAGCTACTGGGTCTGGGACTCAAATAGTAGTTGGCCATGTGGGAGTCCAGCGATATAACCACTATGTCATCTGCTAGCCCCCAGAGTCATATTTTTCACTGCTATACCACTGTCTGACCTCCAAGGTTAAATCTTTTTTTTTTTTTTGAGAGACTTTTGCTATAGGGCCTGTGCGCTCGCCGGACAGACAGAGAGAGACAGAGAGACAGAAAGTGAGAAGTCACCCCCCAGGGGGGATGGCCATGCCGCAATCCCTTCTCCATTCTCCTCTCGGGATCTTGGGCACGCATGCACATGCCCCCGGTGTGAGTTTAAGCCAACAGGTCCGGGACTCGAACCGCGGTCGACTACATGGGAGTCCAGCGACATAGCCATTACGCTAACTGCTGGTCCCCAAGGTTAAATCTTTTTGAAAATTATTTTCAGACTATTAAAAAAGGTCCTACCATTTACTGAAAGGCTGAGAGATAGTAAACTTTTTTTCCCCCCCAAAGAATTGCTCACTTAATCTTTATGTATCAATATTATTTTTTTTCAGTTTGCTACAGGACACACACACTCACCAGAGAGAGACAGAGACTTGAACCCTGATTGACCCTGTGGGAGTCCAGTGCCACAACCACCACGTCACCTGCTGCCCCATCCCAGAATAAATTTTTTAGATGTTAGTAACTGTTTCCCTCTGTTGCCAGATTTAATGTGTTACTTTGGTATTCAGAAACCATCAGTGACTATGCACAGGTTATATTTTTACCTTTAGTTTTAGTTGAAAACTAGTTGACTATATTTATGTGACTATATTTCTGAATGATCAGTTTAGTTATATTTATTTTTGCTAAATTATTTTGGCCATTCTTTTTTTTTTTTTTTTTTTTTGAAAGATTTTTGCTATAGGGTGTATGTAACTTAGCAGAAAGACAGAAAACAAGAAATCACCCCCGGGGGCATGGCCACACTGCATTCCTTTCTTTTCTGTTCTCCTCTTGGGATCTTGGATACATACACATGCATGCTTGGCATGAGTTTTAAGACACTGGGTCTGGGACTTTAACCATAGTCGACTACGTGGGAGTCCAGTGACATAACCATTATCTGCTGGTCCCTCGTCATTCTATTTTTATTTTGTTTTTCCATGTAAAAAAATCTTAGAATCACTTTATCAATGTCTACAAAATATTCCTGCTAAGATTTTTATCAAGATTGTATTTAATCTGTCAATCAATTTGGGAATATGTATAATATATTGGTTTGAATTTTTCTGATATATCAATGTTTCCTGGTTTTTAACATAGACCTTCTGCATATATTGTTTGATTTATACCTAAACATTTTATGATGGTTGATGCTTTTGTAAATGACAATTCAACAATTTTTCAATTTCCTATTATTCATTGCTAGTATATCATTATAGTTTTATAGATTGCCCTGGTATCTTTTTTCTTTGCTACTTTCACTTGTTAGTTTTAACACTTTTTTTGATAAAATCTTTTTTATAGTGGAATATTTATTTAGAATGAGAAAGTAAACCATAAGTTACGAATTGGAAATATGCTCATAATACAGTTCTATTTTTTTTTTTTTTTTTTTTTTAGGAAACTTAATACTGTTTTCCAAAGTGGCTGTACTGGTTTTCATCTCTTAAAACAGTTTTTTTTTTTTTTTTTTTTTTTTTTAGGAAACTTAATACTGTTTTCCAAAGTGGCTGTACTGGTTTTCATTTCCACCAATAGCTCAGACGAGTTCTGTCTCCACAGCCTGGCTAGCACTTACTATTCTTTGTTTTTGGGGTTTTGTCTGTTTCATTTTGATAACAGCCATTCTGACTGGGGTGAGGTGATATCTCCTTACAGTTTTGATTAGCAATTTCCTGATGATTAATGACATTGAGCACTTTTTCATATACTGACCATTTGTATGCCTTTTTTCAAGAACTATCCATTTTTAATTGGATTATTTAGTGAATTTGCTGGTGAACGGTTTCAGTTGCTTATATAATCTGGTTATAAATCCTTTGTTGTAATTATTAATATTTTCTCCCATTTTTAGTTTATGTTTTCACTTTATTGATTGTTCCTTTGTTAGGCAGAAGATTTAAAGTTTGATGTAATCCTATTTGTTTATTTTTGCTGTGTTGCCCATGCTTCTGAAGTTTTATTTTAAAAATCATTGCCTAGATTCATATTCTGCATCATTTCTCCTATGTTTGCTTCTAGTATTTTCATGGTTTCAGGTTTTATATTTAAGTTTTTAACCCGTTTTGAGTTTTTGTTTTTGTTTTTGTTTGTTTATTTGTAGATGATGAAAGATAGGGGTCTAGTTTCATTCTTCTGTGTTTGGATATACAATATTCCCAGAACCATTTGTAAACGTCTGTCTGGGGGATAGCAGATGGCATGGTGGTTAAGGGTGCTGGATTCCCATATGGCCAACCATGGTTCGAGTCCCAGACCTGGTGGTTTGCTTTCTCACTCCCCTGCTTCTCTCTCTCTCTTTCTCTCTGTGTCCCTCTCTGGTCAAATTAAAATAAATAAATAAATAAAAACAAAGTTCAATAAAATAATAATAAAATAATTCTTTTAATAAAAGTCTGTCTTTTCCCCCACTGAGTGGGAGCCTTGGGAGCCTTGTCAATACTCAGCTGACTGTGTTGGTGGATTTATTTCTGGGTTTTCTATTCTGTCCAGTTAATCTATGTATTTATATTTGTGCCAATACTCTAAAGTTTTGTTTACTATGGCTTTGTAAGCACTTAATTCTTTCTTTCTTTCTTACTTTCTTTCTTTTTTTTTTTTTTGAAAGGTTTTTGCTATAGGACGCATGTGCTCACCAGAAAGACAGAGAGAGACAGAGAGACAGAAAGTGAGAAATCATACCCCAGAGAGGATGACCACACTGTAATCCCTTCTCCTCCATTCTCCTCTCGGGATCTTGGACATGCACGCACACATGCCCAGCGTGAGTTTTAAGCCACCGGGTCCAGGACTCAAATGGTGATCGACTACATGGGAGTCCAGTGACATAGCCATTATGCTAACTGCTGGTCCCAGCACTTACTCTCTTTTAATGCTTACTCAAAACCTATAAGGTAGGTATCATTTTGTTCTCTGTTCTAAAGATGAGAAAATATATTGGGTTGTCAGAATAAGTCCCAATAGAGGACTTTGTGAAATATGTGAGGAAATTGTAGAGGACATTATGAAAACTACCAAATATGAATTATTTTTTGAGTATCGGTGCTTATATATGTGAATTTATATTATCTTACAGCTGATGAAGATATGGATATGAATACATTGGTAGGGGTTGTGAAGATGCTTAAAGGTAAGCAAAAATTTTCCATGTGAATATTGATAAAGCAGTATGTTGCTTTCCATACTTATTTATTTCTCTTTTCCTTGTAGTTTATTAATTCATATTTTAAAGTAGTTGCTCTATTTACCATTTATTAAAATGGTTAAAAATTTTTAAAATAAGGGATGGCTCTATGACACAGTGGTTAAATACTGTGAATTAGGAGCTTGATCCCATACGGCTGACTGCAGTTTGAATTTCAGATTTAAGATTTTTGCCATAGGGCTCAGGCACTCACCAGAGAGAGATAAAGACAGTGATAGGGAAAGTGAGAAATCACCCTTACCCCACAGGGGAAATGGTCATACCACAGTCCCTTCTTTTTAATTCTCCTCCCGATGATTTGGGCATACACATATGTGCCCAGCATGATTTTCAAGCTATTAGGTCCAGGTCTTGAACTGCATTTGACCATGTGGGAGTCCAGAACCTTAACCACTTTCCCGCCTGCTGGCCCTGACTCGCTACTTTAGATTCTAAATATTAGTACCATTAATATCCTCTTCCTGGGACTAGCAGGTGGCGTGGTGGTTAAGGCGCTGGACACTCCCACATGATTGACCACGGTTAAAGTCCTGGACCTGGTGGCTTGCTTTCTCACTTTCCCTCTTTCTCTCTCTGTGTCTCTCTCTGGTTAAACTAAAAATAAATGAATGAATAAATAAATTCAGTAAATAATTTTAAAAAAATAAAATAAAAAAAATACATTCTCTTCCTTTTCAATCTCCAGAAATCTGTTGGTTTGACTCTTTAATTGTTAAGGTTAATAACATTTATATTAGATACAGTTGTATCTTCTGTGCTTAAGTTGAAGATTTATCATAAAAGTTGAACACCAACAAACAATACTATTGTAATTATATAGTTATTATTATAAATGTATGCATGCTTACAGATATGTGTATACTTTTACAAATTTTTGAGCCTTTTAATTGACTGGTGTTATATTCACTTCTCTCAGAATTATAATGTACACCCAAAGGAGAATGTCCTAGGGTTAACATCAAATGGATTCTTCCTTTATATATATTCTCAAAACTCCACCATTATACCACATTTTAATTTTGTTCCATGTAGATTATATCTTTTTGTCCTGTCATTTCCTCTGAGATTTTTTTTTTTCTTGTGAAATGATGAATCCATGCTTTCTTGGCCACATTTCTAACATCTTCCAGCTTCCTACTCATTTTATATATAGCATGGACTCAGTTCTATTATATTATATATTAATGGTTTATATGGGAATACAATTATAGGTTCAAATAAAATTTATAAAAGCTTGATCCTTTACTTATAAAATCTAATGTAGCTTGCAGGAAATTATTTTGTTTTTTTTTTTTGTTTTTTGTTTGAGGAGGTTTTTGCCATAGGGCGCGTGCACTCGCCAGACAGACAGAGAGAGACAGAGAGATAGAAAGCGAGAAATCACCCCCCAGGGGAGATGGCCACACCGCAATCCCTTCTCCTCCATTCTCTTCTCGGGAGCTTGGGCATGCACACACACGTGCCTGGCGTGAGTTTAAGCCACCGGATCCGGGACTCAAACCATGGTCAACTACGTGGGAATCCAGTGACATAGCCATTATGCTAACTGGCGGTCCCGCTTGCAGGAAGTTTGATGAAAGCCTGTAGCTTGTTCATTTATTATTGTTATTTTTTTCACCTGTTTGGAGGCAAGAATTTTCTCTTTGTCTTGGGAATTCTGAAATTTCACAATAATAGATCTAGTTGTGGATATTTTCATTACTGTTTTTCAGAACTCTGTGGGCTATTGCAGTTTGAAGGCACTTGTATCTTTATGAAGACCTTTGAGTTTAGCAGTCTTTATTTTTAATGTTTAAGAATGCCTCTTTCTTATTCACTTCATATAACCTCAAACATCATCTTTCAGAATCTCTTTGAACTTATTACGGTTTTTGTTATTTTGAATTTTTGTTTTCTGAATCATCTATTTGTATAGTTAAGAATGAAAGACTGCGCTGATCATGCTCAGTCCACTCCTACTGGAGTGTCTTGCTTTTATATTTGGTTAATCTCTTTGGCTTTCAGGATAAAACCTGGGTGTGAATGAAATACGCCACTTTTGCTCTAGGGAGAGCAGCAGGTAGAGAAACTTTAAGAGAGGCCCTAAATAGTGGAATTAGTGGGTTTTATTTTCAGCCACTAAAATTCACCTTGACAATCATTGTTTTCTTTCTCTTGCTGAAGAGTTCTTCAATTTTTTTGGTCAAGGAGTAAATGCAGAACTGCTTGTTCCCCTGTGACTCAGGGTGACGAAGGAAAGGTTGAGACTAGCTGGAACAAGTGTTCTATAGATAGTCTTTTAGCTACCTTCTTTATTTTCAGGTTTTTTTGTCTTCCCCAACTTCTTTCTTCTTTTTTAAAAGATTAATTAATTAATTTATTTATTTATAGTCATTCACTGTCCATCAATACAGTATACAAAATGAGATTTTTTCCTCCCGTATACATTGCTTATTGGCTCAATGAAGGATATTATCATACATGTTATCAACAAATAAATTTTATTTCTTGTTTCTTATATATTTTGCTTCCTCCCCTCCACCTCTCACCCTCTGCCAAATCTCCCACACTATCTCTGGTATGTACAGTTGTTTTCCCTGCCCTTTTTTTTTTTTTTCACATTCTATCGATTCACTAAAGAGCTTAATTCATTTAAAGACTTTCAATAGCAAGCACAGCTGATATATACATATTTATAAACACATGTCTGACTTTAGGCATAAGCCTCAGTGAGTAAAGTGAACATACTATAAAGTAGCACCTTGCTGGGGCTATATAGCTTACTGCAGTCATTAAATAGGTATTGATAGGTATTTTTCAATGCATATTTTGATTTTCAAATAAAGTTTTAGTTGTAATAGATCAGAATCAAAAACTGTTAAAAAAATTTTGCTTAAAACTAAAAGCCAGGAAAAAGCTTTAGATTTAGTTCAAATAGTAGGTAGACAAACCTATCAACAGTTCAAGAGAAGACAAAAATCCTTAAATATGGAAATCAAAGAATCGAAGAAAATAAGTAATGTTTTCATCACAAGTTCTGTTTCATTAGTTCAGACTCATGTAATTCATCTCTCATCTATTGAATTTGCAGTGTTACTGTGATCTGTTCTTTCCATTTAAACTCTGGAAGTTAGCATTCAACTCTGGACTTGTCCCTACCATTAGGCTGGCCATTTTCTTGGTTGTTTTTTGTACTGTTATTTCTGTGTGTCCAACTTTAGTTTTCCTGGTAAAGCACTCCTTTCAGCACTTCTTGGAGAGCTGGTCTGGTATTGGTCAATTCTTTCAGGTTTTGTATATGTGAGAATGTTTTTGTCTTTTTTTCCCTTATGTAGAGTATTTCTTGGTTGAAATTCTTTTCACTTAATACTTTGAATTTATTTCCCCATTCTGTCCTTGCTTGCATTCTTTCCGATGAGAGGTCTCATGTTAGCCTTATGGGATATCCTTTGAAAGTAACTTGACATTTCTCTCTTGCCAATTTTAGTATCTTGTCTCTGTCTGTGATTTTGGTCAATCTGGCTATGATGTGCCTTGGGGAAGATCTTCTTGGTTTGAGTCTATGTGGGGACCTTTGTATTTCTTGAGTCTGGATACTTGAATGCCTCTCTAGGTTTGAAAAATTTTCTTCCAGGATTTCATTGAATAGATTATCAATGTCCTTATTGGTTTTTCACCTTCTGGGTTACTAATGATCCGGATGTTTGGGCATTTAATGGTATCTTGTATTATTCATATGTTATTCTCATTTTTGGGAGTTATTTTCTCAGACTTTTTGGTGAATGTCTCTAGTTCAGAGCTTCTATCTTCTATATCTGAGATTCGATCTTCTGCATGATCCAATCTGTTTTTTATATTTTCAGTGGAAGTTTTGATTTCCTGTATTATAGCCTTCATCTCTAACAATTTCTTTTGGTTCTTTTTTTATGACGTGTATCTCCTCTTTCAGATCATCCAAAAACTTCCTCACTTCCTGAGATTTGGTGTTTCTTTTCTTCTGCATCTTTCAGAGTTCATTGTCTCTATTCTTTTGTATCTCTGTTAGCTTTGTCACTATGAATATTTTAAATGCTTTATCTGACATTTCCATGAGTTCCCTTGCATTCTTTGAGGAGGAAGAAGTTATTCTTTTCCATTAGAGAGAATTTTTTTTGATTTTTCATATCTCTTGTGCTTTTGTGGTGCTTTCTAGTCATCTGATGGATTATACATTTTTTTCTATTTTTGAGTTAAATCTGAGCAATCAGAGGAAGGCCGAAGGAGATGACCTGCAGTCTATAAACAGTACCATTTTCCTCCCTTTGAACAGCTGATTCAATGAAAATTGAGGATTAATCTGACTCTAAAAGTATTCAGATATTTGGCTACTGAGCACCTAAACCTGTCCAGAAAATCAGTGTGTGGAGGCTGAGCAGAAAAGTGAGAAAGGTAAAAAGAAAAGGAAAAGAAATAGAAAAAAAAAAAAACGAAGAGGAGAATAAACAAGACAAAAACAATAAGAAAATGAGAAGAAAATTATTTTTGTCAAAAAATGAAAACCGCATGGCGCTCTAGCATGCTGTGTGTATGTGGCTGCTCAGAACTCAAATATAGATGGTTGTGGATTGGTTTATCCTATAGGGGGGAGGGGTAAAGGTAAGAATTAAGACAAAAGAGCAGTAGAGAGCTAAGTTTCAAAATTTAAAAAAAAATGAAATAGAAATGGAAAGAGACAGTGATAATAAGTAAGGTACTATAACCTGGCTCCTGGCCAGACTGGGAAGCAGGAGGGTGAAATCAGGGCAGAGGGTCTTCAGTGGTCAAAATCCCTGAATGAGACTCCCAGAAATCAAATATAGATGGCTGCTGGTTCCCCACCGTCTTCTCTACTCTACCTGCACTTAGTACATACCTTTCCTGGGGCTTTTTCTAAGCAGTCAGATTCCTACATGCCTTTTTCTCCATTTTCCTAGAGCCTTATCCTTTTTATTTTGTAGACTGGTTCCCACCGCTGTTTTATCTATCTTATCTACTTGTCTGCTTCATTGTTTTATTGCTGGAGGGTGCATGTGCTTACCAGAGAGAGAGGGGAAGAGAAAGAAAGAGGGGAAAGTACTCCCTGATGAGGTGTGGTCATGTTGCAATCCTTTTTTCTCTTTTCTCCATCTTGTCAGGATTTTGAGTATGCACACGTACCTGCTGGACATGTTCTTCAACACGGGGGCTGGGATTTAAACCATAGCCAACAATGTAGTATTTGGCTTCCTTAACCATTGTACTAGCCTATATTTCTTCATTATGTCTCCCCCAAATAGTATGTAAACTACTTAAGACAGGGACCTTGTCTGTTTTGTTCATTGTCATATCCTTAGCATCTAGAATAGTGCCTTGCATATAGAAGACACTTAGCAAACAAAAGTTTAATGAATGGATAAATGAACATATTTATTTCCTAACAGTCATAAATATAAAACCTCTCTTCTACTTAATGCCCACATTTCCACATTTTCCTTCCTTTGCTTACTCTTTTTGTTATTATGAATTTATTACTTTTCTCATTTTAATCCATTTGAATTGTTTAATTAGGGTACTGGGAGAAGAAAAACATGTCTTCATTCCCAGGCTGTATGACTTACGGTCTTTTTTTTGTCTTTTTTTTTCTTTCTCTCTCTTTTATTTTTAATGCTAGAGGAGGGCACATGTGCATTTATGACACAGAGAGAGAAAGCACCCCCTAACAGGGCCTGGTCATACCACAGTCTTTCTTTCCAGTTTCCCATTCAGTCAGGATTCTGGGCACACACATGCCTAGTGTTTTTTAAGCTGCTGGGGCTGGGACTCAAATTGGTCAGCCATGTGGGATCCAGCTTCTTTTGTGCAGTGCTTTCCCACTGTGCTATGTGGCTAGCCCTGAGAATATATTTCATGGATAAAAGATTTCTATTTTGTTACATATTCATCTGTGTTTTATTTGTTTGTTGATAGAACAGAACATTTAAAGATACTGAAAATGAAAAGTTTTATGTTGTTTTTAATGTGAACTTAGTTAAAATCTAAATGTCCATAGAAAAATCAACATGTAAAATGTTTACTAATGTCAATCGAATACAGTCAACAGTAGTTATTTCAGAATTTAGTATCAAATTACACCACTGCTTTTAAGTAATATTTATATGGTCTTGCTGTATCCTTAGCTATTTATTATGACCCACTGAAGCACAGTTAAGACATAATAAAGTGTATTTAGTTCTATTTTAACTGTCTGTATTCTACTGAGTGACTCTTGCTTCTTTGTAATAGTAAAGTATGATATTTTTATGCTTCAAGATCATTAGACAGTCATAATTTCTTGTTATTTACTTTTCTATGTCTTAAAAGAAAAAATTGAGATCTGTAATCTGGACAACTTCCTGGATGATATGGGGATTGAGCTTACATATAAGGAGCATAAAGACCTGGTAAATAATCTCCCAACCAGTGGTGAGCATTTCAGTTATTATGGTGCTTTTCAAAGAGGGCTTTTAGGCTTAAAATACTGATATTTTACTTTTAATTACTATAAAATTACACAGAAATATCCAGTACTAAATAAGGTAATGTGTTCATGCATGTGTGTTTATTGTTATTGTTGTGATTTTTAAAAATAGACTCTTAAGATTTTAAATCAATATTAATATTGTTAGGCAGAAAATATTTGAACCCTAGATGTCACCAGTTAAACTAAGTCACCTCAGAAATGTAATTGAGATCATTGGAAGGCCAAAACATAAGCAAGGAAAAGAAGAAATTTGAGGATAGAGATTAGAGCAGTAAAAGTGAAGAATGATAATAGAAAAATTAGGTTAAATTCTGCTTTAAGGAATTAGGGCTATTTCTGCAATCAAGAAATTTACAGCTTACTTGGAAGAGGAAAATATGGAGCAATTTGCAAAATAAAGTGTAAAAGTACCACATTATTGAGAATATATTGGCAATAAATATTTGAGAAATAATGGAAAGGAGGGAAAGTAGAAGTAAGGAATAATGGTTGCTTTGAGACAAATTTAAGTAGTAGTCTGATGGGGTGGTTGGTCAGAGATAATACTACCTGTTCCAGCAAGATTATATCACAGAGGTTCAGAACTTCATCCTACGAGTATTAGTCTTGTGGGAGACACTGAAGATTGTTTTGTTTGTGACGTTATGTTTTGAACTCTGTTCTCTTAACAGTTATTGAACCAAGACTATAGATTATAATTCAAAAGCTATTTTAATTCTAAATTTTATTTTTTCACATATTGGGCATTGTTGGGTGCCATAGAAATTACTATACTGTATTCCACTTGAGGAGAAGGCAAATAATTTTAAAGATGTACTTTTTAATATAAATATATAAACTCCTAACATCAGAGCACCTACATGTATAAAGCAAAGATTACTGGATATGAAGAGATTGCAGAATAAAAATAGAAGGGAATTTCAATACTTGACTTTCAGCATGGATTATCCAGATATAAAATCAATAAAGAGACAGTATACTTGAACTACTTTAGACCAGATAGCCCTAACAGACATATATAGAACATTCTGTCAGTAGTAGCATAGTACATATTCTTCTAAAGCACTAATGGAATATGTCCCCAGAATAGATCATATATTAGGCCATAAAACAAGTCCTAGCAAATTTAAGGAGATTGAAGTCATAATATATATCTTCTTATATAACAGTAGTAGAAACTAGAAATAATAACAGGATCAAAATTGGAGAATTCAGTTGTCTGGAAGCTATACAGTACACTTCTAAATAACCAGTAGATAAAAGAAGAAATTAAACAAGAAAAATTTTTTTTAAATCTAAAGACAGAGACCAGCAGATGGTGTGATGGTTACGTTGCTGGACTCCCACGTAGTCAAGCACAGTTTGAGTCCCAGACCTGGAGGCTTAAAACTCATGCCAGGGGCAACACATGGCCTTCCTGGGGCTCACATATGTTAAGGCAGGGACACCGGTGGGAGCTATGGCCATTGAGGTTAGCTGGGTCTGGAGTTTACCCAGGTGTGGAAGTCTTCGGACATTATCATGCCTAAAACACCAAAGGGAAAAAGTGCAGGACGGGAAAAGAAAGTCATCCACCCATAGAGTAGAAAAGAAGCCCAAATTACAAGGGAGGCTCACAAACAAGAGAAAAAGGAAAAATTGAAGAATGAGAAGGCCTTATGTCTTAATCTTATTGGTGAAAAATTACGGTGGTTTCAAAGTCATCTTGATCCCCTAAAGGGGGGATATTCAAAGAGATGCTGAGTTAATTGAAAGATATTTAAATTGATTTAGTGGCTAGCTGGAGCAGATTGAATTACAAAACAGCATCAGACAGGCAGGGCCGGTGACACTGTTCCTGGGAGACAGAGTCATCAGGCAGACGGTGGCATGCGAGTGGCAACAGTACGAGGGCTACGGCCTTGAGATATCAGATACCCTAAATGTAAGTAATCTGAAAACTTTTCGGGAATGGGATTTTGATCTGAAGAAACTGCCAAACATTAAAATGAGGAACATTTGTGCTAACGATGCAATTCCCAAGAAATGCAAGAAGTCAACTGAGACTATTATAATGGTAAACAAAGATTTAGAAGAATTGGATCTAAAAGATAAATCCAGTGACTCAGATGAAGAAATGACTGTGGTGGACTAATTGCCTTTACTTAAGTCAAAAATACCTGAAAGCTTTAAGTGTCAACTCATTGAGTTTGGCAAGTACTTGTCATAGATCCAGGGGCTTGCCATTTAACTGTTATCTTCTGGGATGGGATTCCCATTTGTAGTTTCAAACATGTTACAATATCTACTTAGAAATGAAGGTTGCTTTTTTTTTTTTTTTTTTTGAGAGGTTTTTTTTCGCTATAGGGCGCGTGCACTTGCCAGACAGACAGAGAGAGACAAAGAGACAGAAAGCGAGAAATCACCCCCCAGGGGGGATGGTCACGCCGCAATCCCTTCTCCTCCATTCTCCTCTCGGGATCTTGGGCACACATGCACACGCGCCCGGCGTGAGTTTTAAGCCACCGGGTCCGGGACGCGAACCGCGGTCGACTACGTGGGAGTCCAGTGACATAGCCATTACGCTAACTGCTGGTTCCTGAAGGTTGCTTTTTATTTACATTAAGTCACTAATATAGAAGTGATCTACAAAAACCACACACACACACAAACAAAAAACTCATGCCAGGCACCTGTGTATGTGTACCCAAAATCCCAAGAGGAGAATGGATGAGAAGGGATTGTGGCATGGCCATCTCCCAAGGAGGTGATTTCTCATTCTCTGTCTCTCAGTCTCTCTTTCTCTCTCTTTCTCTCTCGTCCCCCAGTGAGTGCACATGCCCTATAGGTTAAAAAAAAAAATCCCCCTGGGGGAAAAAAATAGAAAAAGCTCTTAAGACATAAGAAAATTAAGGTGCAATATACCAAAACAAGGGATGCAGCAAAAACAGTTCTAAGAGTAAAGTTTATAATAATAAATGCCAGTGTCAGAAAAGATCTCATATAAATAAACTAACATTACACCTCAAGAACTAGAAAAGGAAGAACAAATTAACCCCAAAGTTAGTAGAAGAAATGAAATAATAAGGATCAGAGCAAAAATAAATGAAACAGAGACAGAAAAACAATTGAAAAGGTCAACAAAACTAAAAATTGACTTTTTGAAAACATAAAATAAAAAACCTTTAGTTAAAACTTCAACTTAGAAATAAGAGAGTTAACTCTATAATATCATAAATATAAGAGGAGAAATTATAGCTGCTACCACAGAAATAAAAAGTATCATAAGAAACTAGTATGAACAATTATACACTAACAAATTTGATAACCTAGAAGAATTTGGTGAAGTTCTAACGTCCATAACCTATCAAGACCGAATCACAAAGAAATAGAAAATATGAACAGACCAATAACTAGTAAGGAAATTTAATTAATAATAAAATATTTCTCATTAAACAGAAGCCCAGAACCTTATGTCTTCACTGCTGAATTCTACCAAACATTTAAATCATTAATACTAATTCTTCCCAAACTTTACCAAAAATTTGAGTAGGAAGGACTTTTTCCAAACTCTTTTTATGAGTATTACCCTGATACCAAAGCCAAAAAAGAAAGAAAACTGCAGATTAATATTCCTGATAAACATAGATGCAAAAATCTTAAACAAAATATTGACAGACTAAATTTGATAGCATCATGATCGAGTGAAATTTATCCTAGAAATGCAAGAATGACTCCAACATGCAAATCCATAACTGTAATACAGTACATTAACAGAATGGAGGACAAAACCATGAACTCATCTCAATAAATGCAGAAGTATTTGATCAAATTCAACATCTTAAGCCACAATAAAGGCTTTCAACAGATTAGTAACACAAGGAATGTATCTCAATACAATAAAGGCCCTGTAAGAAAAAATTCATAGGTAATAGCATATTTAGTAGTAAAAAGCTGAAATCTCTTCCTTTAAGATTGGGAAAAAGACAAGACTACCCAACTCACCATTTCTATTCAACCTAATACTGAAAGTCTTAGCCAGAAAAATTAGGGACAAAAAGAAATGAAAGACATCCAAATTAGAAAGGAAGAAGTCAAATTGTTTATGCCTACAAAATGGCATAATCTTATATATATAGAAAACCTTAAAGATTGTGTGTGAGAAAAACTGTTAGAACCAATAAATGAATTTGGCAACATTGCAGGATAAAAATTCAACATACGAAAAACAGCATCATTTCTTTTTTTGAGAAATTTTTGCAATAGAGCACATGCACTCGCCAGAAAGACAGAGAGAGACAGAAAATGAGAAATCAGCCCCCTCCAGGGGGGATAGCCACACCACAATCCCTTCTCCATTCTCCTTTCAGGATCTTAGGCATGCACGCACAAATCCCTTCTCCTCCATTCTCCTCTCAGGATCTTGGGCACACATGCACACACACCTGGCGTGAGTTTAAGCCACCGGGTTTGGGACTTGAACCGTGGTCAACTACATGAGAGTCCAGCACATAGCCATTATACCAACTGCTGGTCCCAAAAAGAGCAGCATCATTTCTATACACTAGCAACTAACTATTTGAAACAAACAAAAAACACTTTCATTTATGATAGTTACAAAAAAAGAAAGAAAAGAAAAAACAAAAATGAAACAAAGAAACTTGAGAGTAAATTTGATTAAGGAGGTCAAAGTTCTGTACACTAAAAACTATAAAGCATCAAAATAAATCTAAGACACAAATAAATAGATACTACATTCGTGGATATCCTGTGTTCATGGGTGGAAAGAATTAACGTTCTTAAAATGTCTGCACTACCCAAAGAAATCTGTAGATTTAGTGCAATTACTCTCTGGATTCTAATGACCTTTTTCGCTGATGTAGAAAAAACAATTGTAAATTTGTATGGGACTACAAGACTTTGAGTAGCTAAAGTAACCTGAGCAAAAAGAACAAACTGGAGGCCTCATACTACTTGATTTTAAGAGCTGCTAAAAATCCAAAAATTTATCTAAAGTAAATTAAATCAGTATGTCAAAGATATACCTACACTCCCATGTTCATTGCATCAGTATTCATAATAGCTAAGATACAGACTCAAGCTAGTTCCCATTGGTGAGTAAATAAATAAAGTAAATGTGATATATATGCACAATATAATACTACTCAGCCTAAAAAGAAAGAAATTCTGTTATTTGCAACAATATGAATGTATCTGAAGAATGTATATTAAGTAAAATTAGGTACAGAAAGGCAAATATGCCTGATTTCCCTTAATGTGTGGAATCTCAGAAAGTCAAACTCACAGAGATAGAGTAAAATTATGGTTACTAGAGGTTAGAAGTTAAAGGGTATGGGAAAATGTTGGTCAAAGGATAAAATTTCAAAAGATAAAGCTATCTCTTGCAGTTCAAGTTCCAAGAGTCTAATATACTCATGATGGCCCTGTAAGAAAAAATTCATAGGTAATAGCATATTTAGTAGTAAAAAGCTGAAATCTCTTCCTTTAAGATTGGGAAAAAGACAAGACTACCCAACTCACCATTTCTATTCAACCTAATACTGAAAGTCTTAGCCAGAAAAATTAGGGACAAAAAGAAATGAAAGACATCCAAATTAGAAAGGAAGAAGTCAAATTGTTTATGCCTACAAAATGGCATAATCTTATATATATAGAAAACCTTAAAGATTGTGTGTGAGAAAAACTGTTAGAACCAATAAATGAATTTGGCAACATTGCAGGATAAAAATTCAACATACGAAAAACAGCATCATTTCTTTTTTTGAGAAATTTTTGCAATAGAGCACATGCACTCGCCAGAAAGACAGAGAGAGACAGAAAATGAGAAATCAGCCCCCTCCAGGGGGGATAGCCACACCACAATCCCTTCTCCATTCTCCTTTCAGGATCTTAGGCATGCACGCACAAATCCCTTCTCCTCCATTCTCCTCTCAGGATCTTGGGCACACATGCACACACACCTGGCGTGAGTTTAAGCCACCGGGTTTGGGACTTGAACCGTGGTCAACTACATGAGAGTCCAGCACATAGCCATTATACCAACTGCTGGTCCCAAAAAGAGCAGCATCATTTCTATACACTAGCAACTAACTATTTGAAACAAACAAAAAACACTTTCATTTATGATAGTTACAAAAAAAGAAAGAAAAGAAAAAACAAAAATGAAACAAAGAAACTTGAGAGTAAATTTGATTAAGGAGGTCAAAGTTCTGTACACTAAAAACTATAAAGCATCAAAATAAATCTAAGACACAAATAAATAGATACTACATTCGTGGATATCCTGTGTTCATGGGTGGAAAGAATTAACGTTCTTAAAATGTCTGCACTACCCAAAGAAATCTGTAGATTTAGTGCAATTACTCTCTGGATTCTAATGACCTTTTTCGCTGATGTAGAAAAAACAATTGTAAATTTGTATGGGACTACAAGACTTTGAGTAGCTAAAGTAACCTGAGCAAAAAGAACAAACTGGAGGCCTCATACTACTTGATTTTAAGAGCTGCTAAAAATCCAAAAATTTATCTAAAGTAAATTAAATCAGTATGTCAAAGATATACCTACACTCCCATGTTCATTGCATCAGTATTCATAATAGCTAAGATACAGACTCAAGCTAGTTCCCATTGGTGAGTAAATAAATAAAGTAAATGTGATATATATGCACAATATAATACTACTCAGCCTAAAAAGAAAGAAATTCTGTTATTTGCAACAATATGAATGTATCTGAAGAATGTATATTAAGTAAAATTAGGTACAGAAAGGCAAATATGCCTGATTTCCCTTAATGTGTGGAATCTCAGAAAGTCAAACTCACAGAGATAGAGTAAAATTATGGTTACTAGAGGTTAGAAGTTAAAGGGTATGGGAAAATGTTGGTCAAAGGATAAAATTTCAAAAGATAAAGCTATCTCTTGCAGTTCAAGTTCCAAGAGTCTAATATACTCATGATAACTATAATTAGTAACAATGTATTGTATATTTGAAAATTGCTAAGAGAGTAGATGCTGTTTTAATCACAAAAAAGTATGTGAAGTAATGCATATGTTTAATGGTTAGATTTAGTTATTCTGAAATGTATACATATATCAAAAGTCATTGCACATCATAAATACATTTTTGTTTTTTTAATTTGTCAGAGGCACATGTGCTTGCTGGAAAATAACAGAGAGAGGGAGAAAGCAAGAAAGCACCCTGCATGGAGCACAGTCGTTTCGGAATTTCTTCTTCTCCATTTCTCCCTCCTTTTGGGATTTTGGGTGCACACAAATGCACTCTGTGTATTTTCCAAGCCACTAGGTCCAAGACTCAAACTGTGCAGTCATCCATGTGAGATCCATCTACCTTAACCACCAGGCCAGAGGCTGGCCTTCCAATTTTTACTTGTCAATTTTTAAAATGTAAAAGATTTGCTGTTTATACTCATTTTTATAATTTCAAGTTACAGTGCTTTTTGTTTGACTTCTGATGTTGTTATTACTTCTACTTAAAGCCTTGTCTCTGTTCTCACAGCTGATGGGAAGATAAATCAGCTTAAATTGATGGATACGATGAAGACTGTTAAAGGTATGTGAATAGTAAAAAGACATAAAACTAAAATATTGATCTTTTGGAATAAAAAAATAAAACTCATGGTCTTTGTCCATAATTATAAGAATGGATATTCCATAATATACAGAGCTGGGAGACTACAAGGGAAACATGAAGACGGAAAAAGCAAAACAAACCAAAAAAACCCTAGTTTATAACCAAAGATAACGAATATAAATGTTTTAGGGTTTTTAGCGATCTTTTATATTTCACATTGACATTATTATTTTTTAATCACCAGAGGGAGCATGTGTTTTCCAGAGAGAGAGAGAAAGAACCCCCTGGCAGGGTGTAGTCACACCACAATTCTTTCTACTTTTTTAAAAAGGTTTTTTTTTTTTTTTTTTTTTTTTTTTAAACTTAATTAACTCCTCACTTTGGTTTGAGAATTTTATGAAGTTTGCTATGGGTTTAACCCAGGATATGTGTGTGAATGTGTGTGTGTGTGTGTGTCTTGTGTGGAGATATGGGGATATGTATCTGTACTAAACAAAGCATAAATAATACATAGTAGTAGTAATAAGTTCAGATTTCTCAGCACTAACAATTTAAACCTTACTAATGTCTACTATTGATGCTTAACATATTCTGCTACATTTCTTTATGCCTCAATTGTTTTTGCACTACCATAGCTCTTACCATGTTTTAAAGCACCTATCACGGATTACAGAGACTTCTTAATCCCTTAATTTGCAATTGTTTGAAGTTCAATCCTCATTCTCTGTACCTAAAAACTCTGGTGTCTTTATTTAAAATTTGCTAAATTTAGGAAGATTCTTTCTGTCTTCAATACATTGAGCAACATGCCTGCTGCCTGCAGGTGGGAATCCAGCACATTAACCCCCATGCCACCTGCCAGCCCCCACAATCTTTTTTCTTCCATGTCTACTTCCTGCCCATATTTTAGGCATGTAGGCATGTTTGTTTTCAGCCACTGGGGCTGGGATTTGAACTGCAATCAGCCATACAGAATCTAACTCTCTTAACCACTAAGCTTATTATAACACTGGCCCTACATAGAAATTTTTGTCTTTGGTCTTTAGTGTGCTTAGTATTTCATGAGTAATAAAATGATAATCATTTTGTTGACTGATAGATAACTTGTGTCCATTGATAACGAGTTTCTTTCATAGAGAACTTGCACTACTGTTATTATTGAACAGCTTCTATAGTGTTGTTATATATTTTTTCTGAGTAATATAATTTTATCTTTTTAAAAAATTACCTTATTCAAATTTATTTATTTATTTGCTTACTTACTTATTTATTTCAGTTTGACCAGAGAGGAACAGAGCGAGAGAGAGAGAGAGAGTGTGTGAAAAAGCAAGCTGCCAGGTCTGGGACTCAAACCGTGGTCAGCCAGTGCCCTTACCCACCATGCCACCTGCTGGCCCCTGATCTTACTTTCTTAAAGTAGTCTTATTCTAAACCTGCATAGAAATACTGATGTTATGAATCTAACTAAAATGTGGAAACCTGGAAGGGCGGGGTGAGGTATAAGGGAACAAATACTGCTCCTGGTATAGGTGTTAACTAGTGGCCAAGATATATGAATTATCATTTGGTTGGTGTGATTAGTGGTAAGCAATTACCAACTTGACATTTTAAAAATTTGCTTTAGATGGATGATCAGAGGTCTAATTCTGGTTCTTGAACAAGGATTAATGATATGAAAGTCTACTTCTGGTCTTTCTATTTATTTTAAATGAATTTTGAAACATTTGCTTTTTATATTGAAACTGAGACACACAAGTATATAGAAAGTCTTTATCCTAGACATTACATGTATGTTCATGCACGTGTGCATGTATATGTTTAATCTGTCTTGTTTTTTCTTTAGGAGGAAAAGTTGATACTCAAAAGCTAAGTAATACACTGGAAAAGATGGGAGTAGAACTCACAAATAAGGAATTTCAGCATCTACAAGAACATTTACCTGTTGATGGTAAGCATGCTGGCATTAACTGATATTTTCAGAGGAAGTTAGACTTATATATGAGGACTCATCAAACTACGTTTTATTGCCATATTGGACCTTTGAAATGCATTCAGAAAGATTAAGACTTAAGTATGTTAAAATATTCTCTTCCTTTCTAACTCTTAGGTGTTACTGGCAGGCTTGATAACAGAGTAACCTTGCTGTCATCATAGGTAGATAGATATGAATGGGCAGTTCTGAGATAATGGCAGAGGACATCAGCCTCATTAATCACAGCTTATCAGAGGATATTCTGGACTCCCTCCTGGTACTAGTAAGGGGAAAGCTGATCTCATTTTTCTTTCTTTATTTTATCTTTTTTAATTTTTTACTAGAGGGCACATGTGCTCACCAGACACACACACACACACACACACACACAGAGAAATGACGCCCCCCACCACACCAGTGGGGTGGCCATACCACAATCCTTTCTCCATTCTCCTCTCAGGATCCTAGGCACCCATGCATATGGTGTTTTTCAAGCCGCTGGGTCTGGACTCAAGCCCCAGAGTATATTGCCTAACCAATCTTCAGAAAATTTAGGAAAGGTTACTATCTCCCCTTCTGCCATTCTACATATGCACACAGAAATTCACTGGGATGGGAAGCTAGGTCAACATCTAATTGCCACTTAGGGAAATAAACTGACCAGAGTAGTCCCTGTGGGGTGCTCACATCTTCAAAGTCCGTACTGGGCATGCATAATTGGGTTATCAAATTCTTCAAACTCCTTACCTAAGGGAAAAGTACTCAAGCACAGGTGGAAGCCCACCAATTGGAACAAAGAAGCCAGCTACAATGACAGACCTCCCCTCCTAAATATTCATGACAAGAACCCAGGATAAAAGTAACACCTAAGGTGGCAGTTGTTCTTTTCTGGCAGCTCCCCACCCTTATGCTTTTTTGGCATGGGGTACATTATTTTCTGTTAAAAATCTTCACTCTGATATTAAAAACTCTTTTCCTACCTCACTCGTGTTTGTGATCTTTTCCTGCGTCTTAGGGTGAGTCTCCAATTTTAGAGATCTGAATCCAAAGAATCAAGGATTTTACACAACATAGCTCAACTCACCTGTTTGATAACGCTACTATTGAGTTAGCTTAGGAAAACAAAACAAAACAAACAAACAAAAAACAGGAAAATAGGAGGGTAGATGAGTAGAAGTAGAAGGAAAGAGGAGGTCTGAAAATAAGATAGCAAGGAGTGGAGGAGGCAAGGAAGAGTTTAAGCAATTATGTTTCAACAATTCTTGGACTGGGAATGGAGTAGACTAAAGAACTCACGCGTGTTGTTATGGGATGGGAGACTTTTGAGCTGCATTGTGTAAAATCCTTGGTTCTTTAGGTCCAGATCTCTTAAGATTAGGGACCTGTCCTGAGACGCAAAATAAAAAACTACAAACGCTTGCAGAGTAGGAAAAGGGAAGTTTTAATAGGAAAGTGAAGATTTTTAATAGAAAAGAAATACATCTCCTTGCATGGAAAGCATGCAGGTGGGCAGCTGCCAGAGAAGGACACCTGCACTGGGTATGGGTTTAGATGTTACATTTATTCTAAGAGTTGATATTTAGCAGGGGAAAGTCTGTCATAGTATCTGGCTTCTTCATATCAATTTGCCCGCTTTCTCCTGCTCTTGCGTATCTCTCTCACAGGTGAGAAATTTGAGGAACTTGATTACCTAATAGCACATGTCCAGTGTGAACTTTGAAGGTATGAGCATCCTTATTTGGATGAACTGCCCAATTATTTTATTGCCACAGTGGGAATCAGGATGGCGACCAAAATGTCTTGTTTTGTATTTATGAAGAATGGTAAGAGGGAAGTTAACAACCTTCTCTGTGTACTTTTCTCAGGTACTGAAGAAGAAAAATGAGATCTGCTTTACCTTTTTGGTCCCTCCTAAATATTCATGACAAGAACCCAGGATAAAAGTAACACCTAAGGTGGCAGTTGTTCTTTTCTGGCAGCTCCCCACCCTTATGCTTTTTTGGCATGGGGTACATTATTTTCTGTTAAAAATCTTCACTCTGATATTAAAAACTCTTTTCCTACCTCACTCGTGTTTGTGATCTTTTCCTGCGTCTTAGGGTGAGTCTCCAATTTTAGAGATCTGAATCCAAAGAATCAAGGATTTTACACAACATAGCTCAACTCACCTGTTTGATAACGCTACTATTGAGTTAGCTTAGGAAAACAAAACAAAACAAACAAACAAAAAACAGGAAAATAGGAGGGTAGATGAGTAGAAGTAGAAGGAAAGAGGAGGTCTGAAAATAAGATAGCAAGGAGTGGAGGAGGCAAGGAAGAGTTTAAGCAATTATGTTTCAACAATTCTTGGACTGGGAATGGAGTAGACTAAAGAACTCACGCGTGTTGTTATGGGATGGGAGACTTTTGAGCTGCATTGTGTAAAATCCTTGGTTCTTTAGGTCCAGATCTCTTAAGATTAGGGACCTGTCCTGAGACGCAAAATAAAAAACTACAAACGCTTGCAGAGTAGGAAAAGGGAAGTTTTAATAGGAAAGTGAAGATTTTTAATAGAAAAGAAATACATCTCCTTGCATGGAAAGCATGCAGGTGGGCAGCTGCCAGAGAAGGACACCTGCACTGGGTATGGGTTTAGATGTTACATTTATTCTAAGAGTTGATATTTAGCAGGGGAAAGTCTGTCATAGTATCTGGCTTCTTCATATCAATTTGCCCGCTTTCTCCTGCTCTTGCGTATCTCTCTCACAGGTGAGAAATTTGAGGAACTTGATTACCTAATAGCACATGTCCAGTGTGAACTTTGAAGGTATGAGCATCCTTATTTGGATGAACTGCCCAATTATTTTATTGCCACAGTGGGAATCAGGATGGCGACCAAAATGTCTTGTTTTGTATTTATGAAGAATGGTAAGAGGGAAGTTAACAACCTTCTCTGTGTACTTTTCTCAGGTACTGAAGAAGAAAAATGAGATCTGCTTTACCTTTTTGGTGCTATGCGGGAGGAAGGAGTCTCTGCAGAGGGTCTAGTGTAACTCTGGATAAGTTGTGACTGATGTGACAGATGTCCTTCTGCTACTCTCTTAGGGCTGCCCACTCATTTCTAGCTAACTGCCTGTTACAGTGTGATCTTATTTTTATTCCATCATTGTAATTTCCTGATTGAGTGAGATCTTTTTAAAATGTATTTTATTGTTATGTTAGATTTGATACATAAAGCATTCTATTGTCAAAAATGTTTCATTTATTACAGCTAATGGAAAGGTAGATCTAAATACACTTCTGGATGAAGTTAAGGTTCTTAAAAAAAATGGTGAGTGTAAAATTATTACTAAAATAAGAAATCTTAATTCTTAGGGACTATTCATCATATATAAATACAATTCTTTGGTTATTTGCATTTCGAACAATAGTACCCGTTGCATTCTTAGAATAGGATCAAATTGTTCTGAATTTTTTTAGGTAAAATGTTTGAAAGTTACTGGTTTTTGTTTTGTTTTGTTTTGTTTTGTTTTAATAAAACAATGTATAGTAGATTGTTTCCAGTGAAATAAACCAATAGAAACTAAACCCAAAATTAAATGAAGGTAGTCAGGTGCATTTGTTAGTCAAAGCCTATTATTTTTATTTCTGGCCCCAAAGAAAACTTCTTTAAGAGAATATAGGATAATAATTTTGTGACTGTGGCTAGATAAAGGTTTCTTAGTCAGACAATAAAGATTTTTTTTAATAATTATTTATTTTATTTCATTTATTCATTAATTTATTTTTAAATTTAACCAGAGAGAGACAGAGGTTAAGAGTGAGAGAGAGAGGAAGTGAGAAAGCAAGCCACCAGATTCAGGACTCAAACCCTGTCGGCCATGTGGGAGTGTCCAGCGCCTTAATCACCACGCCAACTGCTGGTCCCCGACAATAAAGATTTCTAAGCATAAAAGGAGAAACAAACATTATATGTCTTATAAAGAAAATACAAAGTCACCAATTATGAGCTATTTGATAAAAAAAAAATCATCAACCCTCTTTCTAGTCAAGTCTCTCTTATCTAACTACTAATTTACAGAAAAAGAGAACCGAGAAACAGTCATTATATCATGGAAATATAAAAATAAAAATCTAAATTATAAAGCTAACAACTTCATTTTCAACAAATAAAATTTTCAATAAGAAAAAATATGAGAGAAGGGACCTAAGAGATATAACATTTGCAATTTCAGAGACTGAAATTTATTATTATTTGAAAAATATCACATTGTTCAATTATTATTTGAACAGATATAAAAAAATTAGGAAAATGTGAACACAAATTGGATATTTGATAATATAAGGAATAATTGTTTTAAAACACTGTGTGATACTGTTTTAGTAGTAATTTTTAAAAAGTGTTTTTGTCTTAGTAATACATATTGAAATATTTACAAATGATGTGATATGATGTCTGAGTAATGCTTCTAAATAACCAGGGTAGGGGCCAGCAGTGCTGTGGTGGTTAAGGGGCTAGACTCCCACATGCTTGATCAAGGTTCAAAGTCCTGGAATTGGTGACCTGAAAACCACAACAAATAAGTAGACAAATAAATAAATAAATGTTTATTTTAAAACATTGCTATTATTATTTTTTTTAATTCAAGATAGGGTGGCAGGAGTAGATGGGAGTATAGAAAGAATAAGAATGGGCTTGAGCTGCTCATCGTCACATTACTAATTTTAAGTGAAAACTTTTCTGCTTGTCCCACTTTCATTTTATTTGAAAAGACTATCATGCAAAATTCTAAAATAAAATTTAACTTTATAAATTATTTTGTAAAATTGAATATTTCACTGTTATAAACTAGTACATATTTGCCTCTCTTGCACAATAGCAAAGGGAAAAGTAAATTAGAAGAAATCGATAGATATATTGGAGGCTCTTTATTATTATTTTTTTTGATTTTTTTCTTTTATTTTTTAATTTCATTTTCTTTTATACATTCAATCACATTATTATTTGGCTTACAAAATGGATATTTCAACAGGTGAACATTTCTCCCTAGTACAGTTGATAAAACTACAAAATATCTTCAACTGATAATACCACATTCCTTTGTGCCATTAATGCTTTGCCTCCCTATTTTTCTTCAAAATGTCCTTCCTCAGACCCTCCTCTTTCACACACACTATATCTGGTATTTACAACTATATACATTCAATAATTATACATTATTTAGTTTGTAAAGAGATTTTACCCAACATGATATACGCCACACAGCAGGTGAGTGGAGAATACTATACATGACGTCAACAACAGGCAACAAACCGTATCTGTGTCCCACAAATGTTTTCTCCATTTTTTCCCAAATTTCCCTTCCTGCACTCTTCCTCTCTCCCACTCTCCTTCCACTTTGTCCACAGTGTCCATAACAATTTTCAATGTTTTTATGACCTCCAGTATTTCAATCTCTACCGTAGCGTGTAGACAGTAGGTATATGTTAAGAGGAGACATAGACTGTCTCTGTTTTATAGCCTGACTTACTTCACCCAGCAATAAATCTTCCATGTTCATCTACTTTCTATCAAATGCCAGGGTCTTGTTATTTCTTATGGATAAATAGTATTCCATGGAGTATATGTATCATACTTTCTCAATCCAATCATCTGTTTGTGGACATTTGGGTTGATTCCATGTCTTAGCAATAGTGAATAATGCTGCAATAAATATAGTGTGTAAGCACTTTTCTGACTGAGCATTCTCCTGTCCTTTGGGTAGATGCTCAGGATTGGAATTTTTGGATCATATGGTAGTTCTATTTGAAAGTCTTTAAGGAACCTCCGTATTGTTCTCCACAGTGGCTGGACCACCAACAATGTAGGAGAGTTCCCTTTCACCACATTCCTGCCAGCACTTACCTTTTTATTTTTTATTTTTTTTATTATTATTTTTTTAATCTTAGCCATTCTGACTAGGATTAGGTGGTATCTCATTGTGGTTTTGATCTGCATCTTCCTTATGATGAGGGATGTTAAGCATTTTTTTATATGCTTTTGGGCTGTTTGTATGTCTTCCTTAGAGAGTTGTTTATTCAGCTCATTTGCCTATATTTTAATTGAGTTAATCATTTTCTTCTGGGTAAGCCACTTGAGTTCCCTGTGTATTCTAGTTATCAGTCCCTTATCTAAGGCATAAATAACAAAAATTCTCTCCCATTCCTAGGATTGTCGATTCACACTAATTAAGGTGTCCTGTGCTGTGCACAAACCTTAATTTGTTGTAATCCCACCTGTCTATATTGGGGATTATTGCCTGTGCTTTGGGGGTCTTGCTTAAGAAGTCTTTGCCTACCCCAATGTCTCCCAGAATTTCCCCTATTTTTTTCCACCAGTTTTATAGTTTGCGGTCTTAGCTTTAGATCTTTGATCCACTTTGAGTTGATTTTTGTTAATGGTGACAGATAGAGGTTCAGACTCATCTCTATGCAAGTGGAAAACCAATTTTTCCAGCACCATATGCTAAAGAGGTTTTTCTTTTCCCACTGAATTGACTGGTGCCCTTTAGCAAAGAGTTGGCTGTATGTTTTGGGGTTTATTTCTGGTGTCTCTACTCTGTTCTTATGGTCCTCATGTCTGTTTTTGTTCCCATATCATGCTCTTTTGATTATCATAGCTTTGTGTAATATATTGGGGTCAGGAAGAGAGATGCCACCCACTCTACTCTTCTTGCACAGGATGGCTTTGGCAATACATGGTCTTTTATGATTCCAGACAAATTCTGTGATTGTCTTTTCTAAATCTGTGAAGAATGTCTCTTGTAATCTTATAGGGATTGCAAGAGGTCCTTAACTTCCTTGGGGTTAGTTTTATTACTAGGTATTTTATACTTTTTGTAGCTATGGTAAATGGGATTACTTTCTTCAGCTCTGTCTCTGTCTTCTTGTTTGTATATAGAAATACTATATATTTTTGTAAGTTAATTTTGTATCCTGCCACTTAAGAGTATGCATTTATTACTTCGAAAAGTCTTCTTGTGGATACTATTTGGTCTTTTATGTATACAGTCATGTCATCTGCAGACAGAGATATCAGAGGCTCTTAAAAGTAAGATGTAAAGTCAGTAAAACTGTGATCCCTTTACATTGATGCTTATACTATTTCCTAGTCATTAGATTGTCTTGATCCTAATATTAATTATTTTTGTTTCTTTAAAAATTAATCAGTTAATATTTCATGATAAATATTTTTGTATCCTGAAAATAAGTTCTAATTTTGTTAGGTGAGGAGAAGAATCAACTTCTGGGTCTATACAGTGAAGAAGTGAAATTGAGGACTCTGGTTTTTTTTTTTTTTTTTTTTTTTCCAGAGAGGTTTTTGCTATAGGGCAGGTGTGCTTGCCAGACAGAGACAGAAATCAAGAAATCACCCTCCCCAGGGGAGATGGCCACACTGCAATCCCTTCTCCTCCAGTCTCTTCTCAAGATTTTGGGCACACATGCACATGCTTGCACCCTAAGTTTTAAGCCTCCAGGTCTAGTACTTGAACCACGGTCAACTACGTGGGAGTCTAGCGATGTAACCATTGCACCATCTGCTGGTACCGAGGACTTGGGATTTTATCAGCATTGAAGACTACCTTTCTATGTAGTCTAGACAACAAAAATAAACCACATTTATTGCTCTAAAAGTATAAGTATTAGCAGTAAGTGTTGTTTGCCTTCAGTGCTGTAATTCTGTCAGTTACTATTTACTAGCTCTTACAGTACTGGTTACTTCTTAAATTGTAGGAGATACAGTGGAGAAATCAGATGATGTTCCTTCCATCATGGAACTCATATTTCCTTAGTAAGTGGGGGGGGGAATGAAGAAATAAGATAATTCTAGGAAGCAGTAAGTGCAATGAAAGAAAAAAGGTAAATGGCAGAGTGGCAGGGTTACTTCAGATGTGATAGTTAGGGAACACATGATAGAAGAGGGTGACTTTTGAGTAAGGTTTAGAGTCAGCTTCCTTTTAGAACTTCTGTTGAGTAGACTGTTCTTTGACAGAAACCTAATGAAACAAATTTTACTTCTAATTCTGATATTAACCCTCATGATCACTTGGGTAGATTTTGAACATGGTAATGGGTATATAGAGACGTTGTTTTTGTGTTGTAGAAGCATAATATCTTTTTCATAGTTCTTTCTCTTTCCTCAGCGGAGCAGATTGATAGCAATAACCTTGACACCATTCTGGAGAAAATGGGAATGAGTTTCTCTGACAAGGAATATGGAGAACGATCACATAATCGGCTAGGTAATAGTTAGCATTATAGATTCCACTTCCCTCCTGCCCCAAGGGACTGTGTGCTTATGATTTCAATTCCTGAAACTACTTTTTTTGTAGTCTTCTGAAGACGACTGATACATATATTCAAAGAATTCAGTTCAAAAGTAAGCAATTTCATTTTACTGAACTGAGCATCATAATCCTGATATTTTAGAATATTCCATGTTGCATGAATTAAATTCAAAGAAACAAAATGTTTGCAAAACCCTGTGCTATGCTCTGTAGGAAAGCATTATGCCATGTGTAAACTTGATGTTTATTCTCAAAGGTTCATTAGATTAAAGGTGGAAGATAAATATATAAAAAAAAAAGTGAAAATAATTTGAGGGTTAAGAGTATCAGATTAATGAAGGATACTGGGAACTAAGAATGATCATGGTTAGTTTTAAGAATATTGGAGCAAGTGATTTGTGCAGCTTTTAAATCCTCTCCTTGCAACCTGGTTGATTTCACAGAATAGAATACTTAGGAATCTGATAGATAATGATTTTCAGTCTCATAGTAACTTTTTTTATTTTTATGGAAGGCTCATAACTTTTCTGAGGCTTAACTTTTTTATATGAAAAGAACTTCAAAAAATTTGTAGACAGTGTAATTAAAGTACAAATTTAGGGCCAAATGGTGGTGTGGTGATTAAGGTGGCTGGATTGTATATGGCCAACTGCACAGTTTAAGTCCCAGACCTGGTGGCTTGAAAAACTCACTGTGCATGTGTGCCCAAAGTCCCAAGAGGAGAATGGAGGAGAAGGTATTGCAATATGGCCATCCCCACTTGGGGAGGCACGTATGCTTTCTTACTATCCCTTTCTCTTTCTACTCTCTCTGTCTCTCTGGTGTGTACATCCACTCTATAACAAACTATTTTTTTAATATACAAGTTAAATTTTTGTGCAAAAACTTTTAAAATCTGTGCTTAGTTTTTTCATAACATAAATCTTTCATGACATTTAAAAAAAATGAATACATAAACTTTTCGAAGACTCCTTTTAATGCTAAAAAGACAAAATCCATGCTAACTTTAAGTTCAAGATACAATATGTGAAACACCTATCACAATGCATGGCTTGGTAGACACTCATACAATTTAGTTATCTTCCCTTCCTTGAGTGACAAGGAAGATTGGTGCGGTCAGGAGATCAATCTGAAATGATCCATTTGGAGGAGAATACTTTTAAATCTTTAACTTTTTGTTCTAATGTTGTAAATAGACTTTAACATCACATTACTTTTTTTTTTAAAGAGATTTTTATTATAGGGCACATGCACTCACTGACGAGACAGTGAGAAATGAAAAATCACCCCCTAGGGATGGCCGCACCATATTCCCCTTCCTCTCTATTCTACTCTTGGGATTTGGGGTATGCGTGCACATGCACCTGGAGAGTGTTTCAAGCTTCCAGGTCCAGGACCCAAACCATGGTGCCAACATCATAGTTCTTTAACCAAAGAACATGTGTATTATTTTAAGGGTACCCATTCTTTCATGGTCTTAGGATGCGGGAAAGATGACAAAAATGTAATTCGAGTAAAAAATCATGAGAAATTGTTGATGTGTGTTGTATTTCACAATTAAGATTTCACATTGTGTTTTTGAATCTTATTGTGGTATCTGTCATTTATACCTTGTCTTACAGCTGATGAGGAAGTTAAACTGAATAAACTACTGACTGCTGCTATACCTGGTACAGGTAAGAAGGTATTATAAAACTGAAGTACTTATGCTTTTTACAATGTATTTTTCTGCAGCAGTATTTTAAATATGTAACCATTTGCCTTGTAACTCCTGAATCTTTCAAAATATTTTTTCTAATGAATTACTTTAACTTTTAATTTCACTGTTTTCAAAATAAAACTATACTGCTATTGCCTTACAGTTCTCTATCCTCCACAGGTCTTACCAATAATACGCCACACTTTAGAAATGTGAAACCTAAGCCAGCATCATAAAAATAATAATGATCGTTCCTAGTTGGGCACTTTCTGTGTACTAGGCACTATGTTAAGTGTTTGCATACTACTTATTCATTTATTCGTATTATATCTATAATGTGCATACTGTTATTTTAGATAAGGGACTAAAGACTTAAAGAGTAACTATTTGGATAAAATACATATACTGTTTTTTAGATTTCATCTATATATTTATAGATAATCAGCCTTATAATTTAAGAGAAAATACTAACAATATCACCTATGAATAGAATAATTTAGGTTATTGATATATAATGTACTTGAATATTTAAAATTATAAGAAGAATTACCAGAACATGACTCTATTTTAGACTGTGTAATTAAAGATATAGCATATCTTTATTCTCCTTTGTAATTGAATTACAATGATCAAGTGTAAGTGGTGTTTTGTTTTTGTTAAGAGTACTAAATAATTATTAACTGTCTTCCTTGGCTCTTTTCCTGACCTTTCAAAGGAAAGAAAATTGATTCCAATGACTTTAAAAATAATACAGAGAACATGCCAATTAAACTCACAGATAAGGAAATGTTCAACTGTTGAATTTCCCTTCGAAGCTTTGTTTTCAGACTGTGTATAATAGTTTCCAGATTTATACCAATCTGATAAAATATGTTTGGAAAAATGGTCACTCAATGTAACTATAATGAAAATGAAAACTGTTTTGCGATTTAATTCTTTTTCTTAAGAGAGATTTTTGCTATAGGGTGTGTGCCATTGCCAGAGAGAGAGAGAGAGAGAGACAGAGAGAGACAAGCAGAGTAAGTGAGAAATCTCCCCCTGGAGAATGGCTAAGCCACAATCTTTTCTCCTCCATTCTCCTCTCTGGATGTTGGGTATGCACACATGTGTGCTTGGTTTCAGTTTCAGGCCACTGGGCCTGGGACTTGAATTGTGATCTGCCATGTAGGATTCCAGTGCCTTAACCACTATGCCACCTTCTGGCCTCTTGTGATTTAATTTTTAGTGTACTGATACTAGCAAACCAACCATTCCCTCAGATTCTGCCATCAGGATTAGGCAATATTTAGTCATATGTTGGAATTACTGGTAGGCCTAAAGTCTAAATGTAGAAAAGAGAGAAGTGAATCTGAGGGGACTAGAAGAAGAAAGTAGGAAAGTAGTCATAAAAAGGAAAAAAAATTTGAAGAAATAAGTTTGTGTATGTAGCAAGATTAAATTTAACATATTGCAAACTGAAGTGCACAGTAAATGTGGTGTGTTCTTTTTCTTTTCTTTTTTTTTTTTTTCCTGACTAACCTAATTTCTCTCTCAGTCTCCTATCCTATTCTGGCTATGGATGGGTTGTTGGAACATAAGGAAACAGGACCCAAACTGGCTCAATATAGGTAACCCAGGAAGCCAGTAGGTGGCTTGGTGGTTATGGTGTTGGACTCCTACATAGCTGATGGGGGTTCAAGCCCTATACCCAGTGGCTTGAAAATTACGCTGGCTACATGTGCATGTGTGCCCAAAATTGTGAGAAGAGGATGGAAGAGAAGGAATTGTGGTGTGGCCATCCCTCTTGAAGTAGAGGGTGATTTCTCACTTTGCCTCCCTCTCCGTCTCTCTCCAGTAAGCACATACATCCCATGGCAAAAACCTAAGACAACGGCAACAACAACAACATTGGTAACCCAGTTTCTTCTAGTTTAAAACAGTAACACTCTTTTTGGTTTGCCCAGTTAATTTTAGGAAATTAGTATATACTGTTTTCAAATCTCTTCCTTTTCTCCCACCTTAGTTGAAGGGAAAGCTTGGTGTTCTTCTAGTGGTAGAGGAGGGCACCCAGACCTTGTGTGTTGTCTAGACTCTTAATAGTGTCTTTAGCAGTGTCTCAATTTGACAGGTCGCAGAGATCTTGCTGACCTTCCATGCTCTCTCACATTCACTGTTTAAGAAACTTGTAGTCTGGTTAGCATATGCAGGGTCTGTGGTCCTCCCTTCACTAAGTTGGCGCAGTCTTACCACTCACTGGCGATGAGGTTCTCTAAGTCTCAGTCAAGTATTTTACTAATCCTCAGACTGAAACGTCTGCTATAGCCTCTGTCAGGTCTCATTTTGCCTCTTGACTTGGTGTCCCATGGCAGATCCATTGGCCTTCATCGCTGAGATTCCTTCTACGTTCCTCACTGGGAGTACATGGGAATACAGAAATCCCTGTTATATCAGACAAAACCAAAGGAGACTAACGGATGGCCTATTTTCAATCCATTCTTTGCCTATTTGTACCATGCCACAGTATCTGTTTTACATGACAATAGCATGCTGATATTTGGACACAGTAAGGTGGTAACTCCACAGAGTGTCCAAATAGGAAGTATGACACATGTTCGTGTTGTTTTTTCATAACTCACACCCATTCAGTCAGCATATCTGGAGTTTTTTTTTCTGTCTTATCTCCTCCTAAGGTTTGACTTGGAGAGGGCAGTTTTTGGTGGAGGTGGGAGGTGAGCGGCAGGCAGCAAAAACACCTAAACCTTTTTTCTCTATGAAGAAATATCAGCAGATGAAAAAGGATAAATAGATAAAAAGATACATTGTTATAACTGTCTCTGCACCCTGTGGAACTTTCTTAAACCAGGGATTTTCTCTTCCTTTTCTTATCAAGTAAGGTATAGGAAGGAGAAAGAGCAGGGCTTTCCTTTATATGAGTTTTGGCCTCCCAACCCTCTAGTTTACAATAAAAGTAAATGTCAGACCTTCAAGTTTTGTTTTCTAGAAATAGCTTTGAAAAGTGAAAAATATTTTTCCCTTTGAGATAATTTAATTCTGTGGATGAATAGAGAAAAATGTGAAAAAGAAAAGTAACTTAATACTATTAAACAAGTTAAACCTGTACAAGTATTTCAGCATGACAAGGTGTCACTCACAATTGCTTCAGATGTAATAAGATTTTTACTTGGCTTCCATATTTTTTTATGAAGACAGATATTCCTAATCTGTAAGGCAAATAAGAAAAGTGTTTCTTCGTGACACTGTTTTATGATTTCCATTTCTCTTTTTTTTTTTTTTCCTAAATTGAGTTTTGTCTTATCATTAGCTAATGTGAAGGTGTATCAGAATGAAATTGTATCTGGTTCGAAATTATTCAAAGATTGACGATAACAAGTTATTTTCAATTTACCTCTTGTTATCTCATTCCCCAGTCACTTACTAAGGAATCCTGTTACTCTCCAACATACAAAGCCAATGTAATTTAAATTATATTAGCCTAGCAGAATGTCTCATATTTTTGGTTTATTTATCTTGGTCATATTTATATGTATTCTTAAACATTTTCCTGGAGAAGAGAGAAATTTATTATTGCAGTTTAATCATAAAATGCAACACAAGAGAATAACTATTTAGTTATTCATTGTTGTTAAAATAGGCAATGAATCTATTTTAGATTAAGAAAGAAAACCAGTCTGACTTTGGATCAAAAGTAACTATTAAAATGTATCAAGCACCTGCTTTATGTCTAACAGAGCACTCGTTCTTTTCACATATGAGTTTATCTTCCTAGAAACTGTGAGACAGAGAGAATCATCTTTATTTCATACATAGTAAACTGGACAACAAAGAAATCAGGATATTTAAATAAGTTCCAATAGGGAACAATTGGAAGAGAGTGATATACAAACCCATGTGTTCTTACTCCAACCATAAAAATTTCCTCATTTTTCTAAAACTTCCTATTTTTTTATCAAAGGACTAATACGCTGGTTACTTTTTAAAATAATTATTTATTTAATTTTATTATTATTGTTTAGTTTGCTATAGGGCACATGTGTTCACCAGAGAGAGACAAAAAGAAAGAAAGTGAGAAAGCAAGCTGCCAAGTCTGGGACTTGCACTGTAGTCAGCCATGTAGGAGTCCAGTACCTTAACCACCATAAGTCTGCTGTCTCCTATACTGCTTACTTTTAAAAGTTTATGTTATGGGACCACCAGAGCGCATAATGATTATGTGGCTGGTCTCCTGCGGTTTGAGTCCTGGATCTGGCGGCTTAAAATTCACACTGGACTCGTGTGTGTACATGCCCAAAATCCTGAGAGGAGAATGGAGGAAAAGGGATTGCAGTGTGGCCATCTCCCCTGGGGGGCTATTTCTTGCTTTCTCTCCCTCTGCCTTTTCAGCAAGTACATGCACCCTATAGCAAAAATCTCTTACAAAAAATATGTTATCGGGACCAGTAGTTAGTGTAATGGCTATGTCGCTGGACTCCCACGTAGTCGACCACGGTTCGCATCCTAGACCCCGTGGCTTAAAACTCACACTGGGCGCATGTGCATGCGTGCCCAAGATCCCGAGAGGAGAATGGAGGAGCAGGGCTTGCGGTGTGGCCATCCCCCCCTGGGGGGTGATTTCTCACTTTCTGTCTCTCTGTCTGTCTCTCTCTGTCTGGCGAGCGCACGCGCCCTATAGCAAAAACCTCTCCCCCCCCCAAAAAAAAATATATATATGTTATGTACATTTATTTCTTCAAAAAGATTGAAGGGAAGTAAGATTAATTCTAACCATAATAAATTTCTTATAAACTTAAATAGGTTAATTGAGTCTTAAATCTTCTCATTCAAAAAAAATCTGTAATACATAGACAAAAATAAGTGGTACATTTTATTATTAGTAGGAATTTTTATATTTCTCTCTCTTTACTAAGGAGAGACAGAAGATATTGGAAACTTGGGCAACATACTAAGAAACATGGGAATCAAAGTCACCAAAGAAGAACTTGGAGAACTGATGAGAAATCTTCCAGTTGATGGTGATTCATTTTAGATATGGAAACAACTTCAGGAGAGCTTGATCTTGAGGGTTTATATATGAACACTTCTGAAACAAATTAATTTTATGATAAAAATCCGAAAATGTTAGAGAAAAAGTCTAGTTCTAGAATAAAAACAAAGCTTCTTTTCATTTTCTAAATCTATCTGGAAACAAAGCATTTGACTGGATTAGTTCCAAGACCTTTTGTACAATCTGTGAATATTAAGGAAGAAGAATAAAAATGTGGAAAAGAAAATGAGTAAAAGAAAGTTAATGCCTATCATTTTCACATTTCTCATTCATTTCTGTGTTCTGACTCAGCCCCCGTAACACTACTAAAACTTCTCTAAGGATACCAGAAACTTGCCATTTGCCAATTGTGCTAGACAGTGTTCATTCTGTTTTTTATTGGAACTCTATGGTATCTTTGATATTGGTAATAATTTTGATTTTCTAGAAATTTTGTTCCCTTGGCTTCTGTGTTGTTCTCCCAATCCAGATCTTCTCATTACTCTCTGATTTTCATTTTACATCACCTCTGGGAATTATCATTGATATCCAAGCTTTTACCTATCACCTACGTATGTATGTTTATGACTTTCGAATCTGTATTTTTATGCAAACCTCTCCCCTGGGCTTCAGACTGGTATGTCCAAAATCCCTGATAGATGTTTCCACTTCGATATTCTATAGGAGACTACTATTTTACATTTTTAAAACTAAATTTATTATTTTTTTGCCCCGGCTCCTAGCCCTGTGTTCTGTTTTATTAGTGCTATCACTATCTATCGAGTCACCTAAGTTAGTTATATGGAATTCATTTTTTTCCTCCTTGTTTCTTATCCCGCACTATCTGAGCCATCACTGTAGCATACCAGTTTTATATCAGATTACCAAACACAGATAGATGATAGATAGATAGATAGATAGATAGATAGATAGATAGATAGATAGATAGATGATAGATAGATGAATATATGACAAAGCAAGTATAGTAAAATGTTAATATAATAGTACAATCTAATGGGCATATGGGTCTTCATTGTATAATTCTTTCAACCTTATTGTATGTTTGCAAAATTTCATGATAAAATGTTGGAAAAAATCCCATGTACAAATCCATCAGTGCCTGTGTCTCCCTTTTAACATTGCCATATTTCACATCCTTTTATTTCTGACTTTGGTTACTACAGTGGCTTCTACAAAGCAGCCATTAGAGTGATCCATAAAAAATGTGAATCTGATCACATCATGCCTCAATTTAAAATTATTTAATGGCTTTCAGCCATGTGCTAAAGATAGTCTTAAGTCCCTTGATATGGCAAACATATTTTTTCATAATCTGGACCTACTTATATTTCCAATCTAGTATTTTACCCTCCAATAATATTGAACTTTCATACCAACTTACAGAATAAAATCATCTTAGATAACTTCTATTTTATATCAGGCTTTTTATTGATACCTTGCTTTCTGATATTCCCACTACTCAGAGGGCCTCTCCTTTATCTATGTTTTTCATAAGTTTTTCTTCTAACTACCCAGGCCGTATTAGATACCTCTATTCCATATTTCCACAATAGCTGTGCATATATTTTCGTTGTATTTGCTACATTGTTTTATAATTGTGTGTTTTTATGTTTGTCTATTTTGTCACTTTAATATGAGCCTTAGAGTAAGGAAAGATATATTACTCATCTTTTATATCTAATATGTAGAGCTTCTAGCACAGGGCTAGGCACTCCAAATGTTGAGCAAGCAAGTAGTCGATGAGTGAATTAGTTAATAAATAAGATATTGACAGAATGATTTCTAAAGAAAACGAAGAACTGCTTTTTATTTACTTCTGATATTTTGTAACTATTTACCCACAGCAATTCTGCATGACAGGGAGGATCAAAGTTTGTTAGGAATAAACAGTAGATGGAAATAGTGTCTTTTCTTCACCAAAACTCAGCTTTAAGATTCAGAGTATTACCAGAATTGAGGAGCTTTAGAAGATTAACCTATGTGGGCAGTGTGTTCTATCATGTTTGTACAGAAGTATAATAGCCCAGGAAGAACATAATATTCTCTGCATCAGACTTTATAGTAACGGCAGCTTTCTAATATGAAATCAGTTCCTGAAAATTAAGAATTATGTTGTTAAAGTGACACCACATAATAATGTATAATAACAAACATTAGCTAGTTTGTGGTTCATTATTGAAAAATCTTTTTTTCTCCTGAATTTGCTTTATCTTTTAGCTAATGGGAAGACCGATTTGAAATCATTGACAGATGTGGTACGAGCTGTTACAGGTTAGTGAGAAGTTACTGTAAATTTAAGATCTTGTTTCTTTAAACTAAACTAGATTTTTTTCTATGATAAATATTTTACTGAAGGATGACATATATAATTATTGAATTATGTAACCATATGTGTCCAGCTTAAGGACTATTATTAAATTATCACAAATTATTCACATACCGATTTAACTACTATCTGGAACATGAAATAGATTACTTATAACCCAGATGACCCCAATACTACTTCATAGTCACTTCCCCCTTACTCATAAGGGGTAATTACTACCCTGAATTCTAGGATCTTAGAATTATTATTTTTTTTTTTGAACTTTATGTAAATGGAACCATACAATCTATATTCCACTATGTCTTGACTTTGGTTCAACATAATGTTAGATGTTATTCTCTGAGATTCATCCATATTATTGCATGCAGCAATAGTGTTTTTGTTTTTGTGGTTTTTTAAAAAGACAGGATCTTACCATGTTTCCTCCTGGGTAGCTAGGACCATAGTCATGCAGCACCATACCCAGCTCTTTTGTAGAAAGTGTTCTATTATATTGTCCATGCCACTCTCAAGCTTTCAACCCACCTGCTTCAGCCTCCGAATTGCTGGGATTACAGATGCATGCCACCATATTTGGCCTTTAAGATTGGACTGGGAATCAGCCTGGGGAGCATAATTTCTTAGCAATGCATACTGTCATGGTCGAGTCTGTGGCAGTAGTTTGCTGATTCTTATTGCTCTGTATTATAAAGACTAATAAACTAAAAGTAGAGATCTTCAGAGATCTACTATGTAGGTATGTAGAATGATTTCTAATTAGTTCATTTTGCCTGAATGTTGTGCAATATTCCTTTGTGTAAGTCTGCCATTATACATTTATTCATTCTGTTATTGAGGAAGATTTCCAGTTTGGGGCAGTTACAAACCATTCATTGCTATGAATATTTTCATACATACCTTTTGGTGAATATACATTCATGACGTGGTGGCTATATACTTATAAATTGTTTTATGGGAACCAGCAGTTAGCGTAATGGCTATGTTGCTGGACTCTCACGTAGTCGACCGCGGTTCGCATCATGGACCCGATGGCTTGAAACTCACTCTGGGCGCGTGTGCGTGCATGCCCAAGATCCCGAGAGGAGAATGGAGGAGAAGGGATTGCGGCGTGACCATCCCCCCCTGGGGGGTGATTTCTCGCTTTCTGTCTCTATGTCTGTCTCTGTCTGTCTGGCGAGTGCACACGCCCTATAGCGAAAACCTCTCCAGAAATTGTTTTATAATAAGGTAAGATTATATATACCTTATTAGATATTGTCAACAGTTTTCAACAGTAGTTGTATCATCTTACATTTCAATCAACAGTGTATGAGAATTGCTTTACATTTTTGCTTATACTTGATACTGTCTTATCCATTTTAGCCATTCTGGTAGGCATGTGTTAGTATCCCACTATATTTATAATTTACATTTCTCTAATGATCTTGAGCACCTTTTAAACATTTATTGGTTATTTGGATAATCTCTCGTAAAGTCCCTGTTTATGTCTGTTATCTATTTGTCTGTTTGGATGTCTGTTATACTTTTGATTTTTAAATTTTGTCATCTTTTACTTATGGTTTTTATTTATGTATTCTGGATACAAGTCCATCATAAGTTATAAATTGCTATTATCTTGCTATATGTATTGGCTTTTCATTTAAATTATACTTTTGTTTTAGAGAGGTTTTATTGTTTGTTTGTTTGTTTTGTCTTTTTGCTATGGGTGTGTGTGCTCGCTGGAGAGTCAGAGAGAGACAGAAAGTAAGAAATCATCCCCTGGGCAGATAGCCATACTGCAATCCTTTCTCCTCCATCCTCCTTTTGGGATTTTGAGCACACACACATGCACATGTGCCCAGCGTGAGTTTCAAGTTCCCAGGTCTGGGACTTGAACTACAGTCAACCATGTGGGCATCCAGTGACATAGCCATTATATTATCTGCCGATTCCCTTACATTATACTTTTAATGAAGAGAATTTCCTATTTTATATGTAATTAAATCATTTTTTTCTTTTATGGTTGAGAGCATGCAGGATCCCGCTTAAGAAATTATTGCATACACCAGGTTATGAAAATTATTTTTCTATTTTATCTTCTGGGAGCTTTATCCTTTTCTTTTCTTTTTTTCTTTTCTTTCCTCTCTCTTTTAGAGTGAGACTTTTTGCTATAGGGTGCATGTGCTCACCAGAGAGAGACAGACAGAAAGTGAGAAACCACCCCTGCTCCAGGGGGAATGGCCATGCCACAGTCCCTTCTCCATTCTCCTTTCGGGATTTTGGGCAGATACACATACACACCTGGAGTGAGTTTAAGCCACCAGGTCTGGGACTTGAACCACAGTCGACTACATGGTAGTCCAACAAGGTAACCACTACATCCTCTGCTGGTCCCTATCATTTTATTTTCAAATTTAGATCTGCAGTCCACTCAGAACTGACTTTCTAAATATATGATGTAGGGTAAAGGGTCACAGTTCAATTTTTTCCTAAGTGGGTATTCAATACTACTTGATTTATTGACAAGATGATTCTTTCCCCATTCAATATTTTTATAAATCAAAGACCATAAGTGTGTTGGTGTATCTGGACTCTAATCTGTTAGGACATTTTTTGGGTCTGTTTTGGTCTTTACATATCAGGGGACCTCAGAAGGTTCATGGAAAGTGTATATTATAAAAAAATTATGCTGGATTGCAAAATATTTTGTACCAGAATACATCTGTACTTTAATTCCATTTTTCTACAAACTTTTTGAAGTCCCCAAATATGTGTGTGTGTGTGTGTGTGTGTGTGTGTGTGTCTGTATGTATATAAATTTAATATCCTAATTGTTGCTGGCATATAGAAATGCAGTTGATTTTGTTTGTATAAATGTGTGCATGTATGAATATGTATATAGCTGGATAAGATTTGCTATTATTTTCTTTAGAATTTTTGCAGGCTGGTTTGTAATTCAGTTTTCTTGTAACACTGGTGTTAGTAGGTGTTGGTTTCAATATCTGGCCTCATAAAGTTAATAGAAAGGGCTTTATTCTTTGTTCTCTGGAAGAGTTTGTATTCAGTTGTATTAATCAGAAATAAGTGCTCTGAAACTGGAGATGCCTATGTGAGAAGATTTTAAATGACCAGTTCGGTTAATTTAATAGATAAAGGTTTAACCAGATTTTATATCTCCTCTTCCATTATTACTGAAGTGTGTTTTTCTAGAACTTTGTTCCTTACTTCTAAATATTCAAGTTAAGTGTGTAATGTTTATGATAGATATCCTTTTACTATCTTTTTTTTATATCAGCAGGATTTGTAGTGATATCTTATTTGTCATTAGATATATTATTTGTGTTTTTTTTCTTTTCACTTTGGCAATATTAGTTCAAGTACTTATTGATTTTTTAGCCTTTCCAAAACCTGACTTTTATCTGTATTGATTCTCTCAAACATTTGATCTTTTCATCTAGCATATGCATTTAAGACTGTAATTTTACTCACAACACACCTTTCCCTTATTTTACAGTTTTAATATGTAACGCTACCAAATTAAAAAAATTAAAACTTCTGTGACTTTTTTTGATACATTATTTATTTAGAAATGCTTGTCTTAATTTTTCAACATACAAGTTTCTTAGTAATTATTTGCTATGATTTTCAGTTTAATTCCACACCCATATACACAGGTATATGTACCAGTTCTGTTTATCATTATAATAATTTTTAAATGACATAAACCTTATTTAACTGTGTTCAGTATTATTTTATAATTAACATTATGGGAGCACCTCTTTTACTAGGTTAAATGAATACTATTCATTTCTGTATCTGCAGCTGACTACTTATTGTTTTGTAGGTATCACTGTGCCGTAATTCTCTTTTCATAATCGGCATTATGATATTTTTAAAAAATTCATATTATTCTACTTATGTTCTTTTGAAGGAAGAGAAGTTGACTTAAATGACCTGGAAAATGTCACGAAAAATATGAAGATAGAACTCACATCTAAGGAAAACTTGGAGCCACACAACTTACTTGATGGTAAGCATTTCAACATTAGTGTAGCCTTCAGGAGAATTAATATTACCTCTGAGAGAGTTAGTAGTCACTGAAAAAGTTATTCAGTATTACAGGTATTAGTAGAGTCTTGAGGGAGTTAGAATTAGATGCTTATTATCCAATAACATGTGCTATAGATTATTTATAAATTAGGGATAATAAGATATCTGTAATATCAGATATAATGATTTTTAATATTAAAGAATATAAAAATATTCATTTAGTAAAATATACACAGGCCAGTCAGTCATAAATATTTTCTATCAGAACTAAGCAATGTTGATGGTTGTCTTTCATTCCATTGAGATGTTTTGGGTTAAGCTCTATAGGAAATAGGAAGAGGTGTTGGAAGGTAGGGGTACACTAGTAGAGAAAGGGTAGTCAAAAAAATATAAGATAAGTGTTTTTGCTTCAGCTTAATTGGTATTAAAATCACCTTAGGCACTAAAGAAAACCATATTAAGAATTTGTCTACATTCTAGTTATATTATTTTTAGAAGACAAATTACATGAATTTCAGCAAATTATTTTATGGTCCATACTTCTGAACTCGGATTTTTTAAATTGCTTTAGCGTATACAACTATTTTCCCTATGACATCAAGTATGTATTTTTTTACAACTAATGGAAAAATATGTAAAAATTGGTTGCTGAATTATATGAAGCTATAAAAGGTGAATGAGATGAAAATTGATTAAGGCAGGCTAATCGAGATGCTTATGGTTTATTTTTGCTTTTCCTTTTCATTAAATTTTGCATCCTGTGAATCTCATATGTGTTTTAATTTTTTAATTTATATATATATAAATGTATATGTGTGTGTGTATATATATTCGTGTTGATTGAATAATCTCTTGCAATTTATTTAGTTAGTTAGTTAGTTTTGGAGAGGTTCTTGCTCTAGGGCGTGTGTACTCACTGGAAAGACAGAGAGAGACAGAGAGACAGAAAGTGAAAAGTCACCTCCTCAAGGAGGATGGCCACGCCACCATCCTTTCTCCTCCATTCTCCTCTCAGGATCTTAGGCATGCACATATACACACTCCTGGTGTGAGTTTAAGCCACCGGGTCCAAAACTTGAACCATGGTCAACTACATGGGAGTCCAGCAACATAGTCATTACGCCAACTGCTGGTCCCTCTTGTGATTTATTTTTAATATATGATCTAGCTATCTTAGGTTAGTCTCAATTTTAGCTGGGGAAATAATAAAACTTAAGCTTATCAGAATTTGAGAGGAGCTAGTGCATCTTAAAATGCAGTGAACATACTGAACCCTACTCATTTGTATATTTATGTTAAAAAATCATTAGATTTGCTATTTCACTGCTATAAGCCTTAATGGTTTTCCAATTCTCTCTCTCTTTTTTAACATGATAGACCAGATTTTATTTTTATCTCAAGAATATTTAAATTGGGGGAAGAAATTCAGTTTCAAATGTTATTGACAGGTTTCAGACAGTTGTGATGGAGGAATCAACAATCCTCCAATGCAAAAATCCACCTAGTAAAGTTTTAGATGACCAGTAACTTTATTAATTAAGTCTGCTGGTCCTGGCCCAATTCCTAGGACAGTTCAAGAGCCTGGTTCAATCTGAGTATGTACAGCACCTTGAGTTAAACTCACGGTCAGTCCAAGGATTTTTGCATGGGTCAATAATTCAATCAGGTTTCTTCATCAGGAGTTTTGACCACCACTTTGGGCTGGCCACAGTATTCCCATTCATTGAGCATTTTAGGACTTCTTTCCATTTGTTTGTAGGCAGAAGCAGAAGCATGGGAGCACTGGGCAGCCACTTTTCCTTTTTCAATTTTTAAGTAATTTCAAACAACAAGAATCATTTTATATTCCTCACTCT